AATCAGAAGGTTGCTGGTTAAAACCCAGCTTCAGCACGTCTGCGGGTCCTTGAGCGGTCGCAGACAGCTTACTCTACAAAGAGCAAGTTGAGGGAGGTGTAAAGACAATTTCCCCACAGGGATCAATAAAGTATTGATTATTATTATTATTATTATACTCAAATTTGAATTGTGATTCTGCAGCAATTTTCAACAAATTTTATGAATTGAATTTGTTTTTCAAGGTCATTCTCAAGTCAGTTCTGAATGGTGGACAACCCTATTATGTACTCATATTGTATAAAGGTGATACAACAACGAGCCCCTTTTGGGCTAATTCATAGTCTACATTAGCTTTACAGCAGGGAAAATAAGTATTGAACGCATCAACATTTTTCTCAGTAAATATATTTCTAATGTAGCTATTGACATAAAATTTACACCAGATGTCGGTGACAACCCAAGTAATCCACACATACAAAGAAATAAAAACAAGTCCATATATTATGTGTAACAAACTGAAATGACACAGGAAATAAGTATTGAACATGGTTACTGAAATTTATTTAATACTTAGTAGGAAAGTCTTTGTTGGTAATGACAGCTTCAAGACACCTCCTGTATGGAGAAACTAGTCGCATGCATTGCTCAGGATTTTCACACATTCTTCCATACAAACTGTCTTCAAATCTTGAAGGTTCCAGGGCTGCCTCTTACTAGATTACCGTAAGCAATTATACCTACACTCACTGCAAAACTAAAATTAGATTTGGTGCGGTTGAAAACAACAGCATTGTATTCCCTGGACAGGCCTGTCATTTGTTCTGACCATCTAAGCCGCACACCCACCAACTTGTACAATTTCTATAAGTACTGGATCAGTCACATGGAAGGCAAAAAAAGTACAATTTCTAGAAGTACTGAACGAATCACCGGGGAATATAAAAGTTAAATGTGTTTTCAGCTGAATGTTGTGATATGTAAGTCTGAAAGTATACTTTTTCCTTTATTGCATATTCCACTTTTTCCACAATTCTACAATCTTTCTCCACCAATTAGGTGGTTACATGTTTTATTCTGTGCATTTTAATGCCCTTGTTTTAAAAGATCATTTATATAATTTCTATTTTTTATATTGTTTAAAATATGCATATTCTTTTTGTTTCTCTTTTGCACTATGACCAAATGATCTACACAATACTTTAAGTGTTGGTGCGTTGACAAAAGCAAGTGTCTTCCACAGCTGCTGTTCCCTTCCTTTGCTGCTACACAGCGCTGTTGCTTCATTTTTGGGGCAGTTTGTCTGAAAATGAAACCAGGTGTAGATTTTCATCCATATAATGTTTGTGTGAGGCAGCTGGAAACATCCATCATACACTTTTTGACTTTTCCATCCATCCATTTTCTGAAACTGCTTATCCTATTCAGGGTCACAATGGGTCCAGAGCCTATCCCAGAGGCTATGGGAGCAAGGTACCTAGGGAATAACCCAGAATGGGATGCCAACCCATCGCAGGGCATACTCACACACCATTCACTCACTCACTCACTCACACACTCACACACACCTATGAGCAGTTTGATAACTTGAATTAGCTTCAGCATGTCTTTGGACTGTGGGGGGGAGGGAACTGGAGTACCCGGAGGAAACCCAACAACGACATGCGGAGAACATGCAAACTACACACACAAGGACCCTGGTGGAGACTTGAACCCAGGTCCCAGAGATGTGAGGCACCCCGTCAATTTCAGGGTGACGTAGCTCAAAATGTAATCACTTCTATGGTGCGTTCCATTTGCCCTCAGAACTCGGATTCCAAGTCGGATTACGAGTTTTGAAGCCGGAAGTGACAACATGCGCACTCCCATTTATCGGAGATGGAACTCGGTTTTTAGCGGATGTGACGTAACCTCGGCAACCGAAACTTGTTTCCAAAGACAAATCGAACGCACCACTATTTTAGCACCCATACAATGCCTCTGCAAAGATCTATCAAAAACTTCAGATCAAGTTTCAAGACTGCCCATTTTTGTCATCACTATGCAGTGTTATTTCAATTTTGGGGTGATATGTCTCAAATTTTAATCAGTTTAATTTCGCACTCATACAATGCCTGTGTAAATTTTGAAGAAGATCCATCAAATGGTTTTTGAGTTATTGGCTCAAATACCAATGTCTCTGCAGTGCAGCAGACTGGTGCTATAGCCGTATCTATTCCCTAAGGCCGAGGAATACAATTAGCTTTAGGCCCATACTATGCCACTTTAACACAAAGCAAGCATTAACGATGCACATATAATATAATATAATAAATAAAAATGGTATGTTTTTAATTATGTTGTTAATGTTATTAGTTGTGTTATTAAACCAATTATCAATTATTAATATAAAAATTAAAAATGGCATAATATTAAGTAGCTTAAATGACAGTAGCTTTTCAGCGTGCCACAAAGGTGTACGACGCAATTACAATGATTTGAATTGATAAATAATATGAAACACAAAATAAAAAGGCCTACAGTATATGTAAAAAACACTCTTAACCTAGAGCCAGTTTGATTGGGATAGCATTTCCCTTTCAAATACTGTTCATTTACATGTCATTCTGTAACTTAGATGGGAAAATCACATTTAAAAGTTTTCTAAAACAGCAATCACTGCTAAAACTCATCAAGGCTACTTTACACAGGAAAAAATTATCCTAAAAAAATGTAAACCAAAGAATCACATTTTAAGCACTATTAATTGTAGGCCTAGTTGTATGAGACTGGTGTAAACAATTGATTTAACATCACTACAGTAGTTGTGATAAACACTCAGTGACAAAACAAGTTAAGCATCCAGAAGTAATGGTCCAATCTGGATGAAATTTGATACACGTGCAGACCAGCAATGGTTATGTAAATGATTCGATTTGCAAGAAACTGGCAAGTCTAGACACCAGACACAGGGGATGCCCCGTATACGCATTACATGGCATTACCAGCACTTTATGGAGTTTGATAGGGGTCGAATTGTGGGTTTGCATGAGGCCGGTTGGTCATATCGTGCAATTGCCCGGCATGTGGGGCATGCAGATATCACAGTCGCCCGATGTTGAAACCAATGGGCACATAATGCCTAAGGCAGACCATACCAGGAGGATCGTCATACTGTGTGGCAAGCATTACAGAACTCCATGACATCTGCCCCTGCTATCCGGACACAGGTATTGGACTCTCTACAACACCCTGTGTCATCCTGCACTGTGTCTCGACAACTGGCATCAGCTGAACTACAAGTTCACCATGCCATGCATAGGCTGCCATTTTCACCAGCGCAAAGACGGCTGCAGCTGGAGAGGTGCTGTAACCGGGAGGCATGGACTGATGACGAGTGGTGTCGTACTATGTTCAGGGATGAATCTCGGTCCTGCAGTACTATGGATGACCGTCGTGTGCATGTATGGCGACGCCGAGGGGAGAGGACCAAACCTGCCAATGTTGTGGAGAGATACACCAGCGTTACTCCTGGCATCATTGTGTGGGGAGCCATAGGGTATGACTTCAGGTCATCACTGTTAGTGATTCGGGGGACCCTGACCCTGACCGGTCCACACAGTGTCTATACACTGCCTACGTCATGCTGAGGTCCTCCCATGACCAGCCAGGTCCCTTGATTTTTCCCCAATCGAACATGTGTGGGATCAGCTTGGAAGTCAACTCAGACCCAATGCTAGTCTGCAGGATCTCGAGGACCAGTTACAACAGCTGTGGGCCAACTTGCCACAGGAGAGGATACAACAGCTGTACAACTCCCTTCCGCGCTGTATCGCCACATGTATCCAGGCCCAGGTAGGTGCCACAACATACTGACATGGGACATGTGCCCATACTGCCAACTTGTCTGTTTGATCTGATGATATAACCATTGTGGTATAGTCACATGACATTTCACCATGTGCAGATTCATTTCATTGCCACCACTCGGTTTGGGTGCTTAAATTTTTTTGTCACCGACTACATTTTCCAGAAATTTTTATGTAATGAAACCAGCCAAAAATCAAAAATCCTAGGACAGCAGTAACTGCGCCATACTCTTTCACCAAGTATCAAGCTGTAACCACATCACTTACACAGCTGTCATAAAATTTGAGGATTACACTAAATTATACAAGGTAAAAAGCAGTTAAACTGTCAGCTGTATGCATTAATCTAATTTAATGAATCTCCATGGTTACACTGTATTATTATGTAGGCACATACTGTCGCGGGTATACATATTCGACGGCTGAATGTGTTTTGTTTTTTGTGTTCGCTTTGAACAAACACCTCTGAACCAGTAATCAAAACCAACAAACAACAAATATATTAGGGGCGCTTATCCCGGAGCTCATGTGCGCAAGGCAGGGAACAATTCAGGGTGGGGCGACAAGGCATCACAGGGTCCACACGCACACAATTCATTCACACATGCATACCTATAGGCAATTTTGCCAAGTCCAATTAACTTCAGAATGTTTTGGACTGTGGGGGGAAACCGGAGTACCCGGAGGAAACCCCATGACGACACGGGAGTACATACAAACTTCACACACATGGAACCTAGGTGGGGACTGGGACCCTGGTACCAGAGGTGTGAGGTAACAGTGCTAACCACCACCATAATCATAACAACAACTACAACGACAATAATAATAATTAGAATAGTTCTCAGTATTTTGAATTAAATATCCGTAACACAAACTGTCAAAATACGTTGGTGCACGTTAACCAACTATTACGTTAAACACACAAAATAATTTCAAGAAAGATTACGTTTACCCGTAAGGTGTGAAAGAGGGACAGACAGTGCAGAGCGAATCTATCGTGGTAAACCAGCCGATTTGAAAACAACCCAATAAACCGCACAGCAAGCAACCTAGATCAAACTTCAAATCTTCTGTCTACAGCGGTAGCCTCACATAACACCAATTACTAAAATAAAGCCAGGCGACATCTGTCAGGTTATGTTATAAACAGCCGGAGAAAAATGCCCGCACCGTTTACCTATATCCAGCAGAAGTGGCGGATGAAGTGGGCTTCATTCGCTGATCAAACGTCCGATTCTTCTCCCGTACACTCACGGCTCAACGCAGCGAGAAACATTCAGTACGCAGCTTTTATTTTCCGGCTTGCGGTATACACCAGCGATCCCATATCTGGAGGTCCCCCTCACCCCACACCCGCCCCTCCGCAGCCTGTGCCTGCCTGCCTCTCGCGCGGGTGCATTCCAGACTCAAGCCTCCAATCAGTGCAGCCTGCAACTGTAGCTATTACTCCCGGGAAGGGGGACCTGGGCCAGGCATTGCCCCCGATGCCCATCGGACGCCACCTGGTGAGTAATGGAGGCTGCTGAAAGTTCTTCCTCCAGCCCCAGCCGCGGGATACACTGGTGGGAAAATGAGAATCATCCCATCTGTTCCTATGGAGTTAGAACCCTGCCAATAAGTCGCAAATACGCAGAACACATTTCACAAATGCCCCACGATCTGCAAACAAACCGGATGTAATTTATAAATAACGAGCAATCCGCAAACATGCACATCATGCTGTGCAAATGCAAAACATACGTCTCACACAAACACAATGCGCTTTGCAAATACAAAACACTACTGTCAAACCAATACAATGTATTTTGCTAATATAAATGCGGCTAGCAAATACAAAAAGAATGTCTTCCACAAATATAAAGACAGAATAAAACCAATAAGAAACATTTTATCATTGTTATTGGTCATTGGTTTTACGAATACAACACATTATTACACAGCAACGCAAAATATTACATAAGAACAAGAGTTCTTAAAATCTTATCTAGCTCTGATTTAAAGGAACCCAGGGTTCTAGCTTGCACTGCACTAACAGGAAGACTATTCCATACTCTACATGCTGTGTAAAGAAGTGTTTTCTCAAATTCGATCAGTTTAAAATCTTACCCGCTAATTTCCACCTATGGCCACAAGTTCTAGTATTTAAACTAATATTGAAGTAGCCATTTGCCTGAGCAGTTTCCAGAACTGTTAGAATCTTATATCCCTGGATCATGCCCCCTCCCCTTAATCTCCTTTGCGCGCGAGGCTGAACAGATTCAGCTCAGCTAACCTCCTAAAACAAAATTTGTGCATCACGTGCCTTTTGACACGCGTTATTCCGCGCTGATACACAAATGCAGTTTCACACGAATAGGATGAGCTCCCAGACAGAAAAACACTATCAAAAACTGTAATGCCTAGGCTGTATGAAAAGTTAAGAGGTGATATAAAACAAAAGATTGCCTCTGCTGTTTGTCTCACAACAGACTGCTGGACCTCTTTGACTACAACAAGTTACATGACTGTGACATGTCATTTCATAGAGGACTTTCAGATGACCTCCTATCTCCTGGACTGCTTTGCTTTGACAGACAGACACACTGCTGCTCACCTGACAAGGGAGCTGACAAGGGTTACAAATGAATGGGGTGTGGGTGACAAAATTGTAGCTTGTGTCACAGACAATACCGGCAACATTGTTTCAGCCCAGAAAGACCATCTCCACATACCTTGTTTCGCCCATATGCTAGGGTGACCAGATAATCCATGTCAGGGAGGACACACTGAGCTAGGACAGGAATTGTAAATTACCATTTCAATTAAACTGACCTGGATTTCACTTGAGCACCGAGTTCTTGCTGTGTGTTGATTGGTCAGTCTCCTATAATCATGCATGTGTCACTAATGCTAATGTGAAACAGCTGGATGAGTCTTTCAGTCAAGGAAACAAACCAGTCAAAGCACAAGAAGAGCTGAACTCTTTAGCCGAACACAGGAGCCTTTTAATTTGGAAGTAGTTTGTAAAACCCGAAGTAGCTCAAAGTGTCCTCCCTGACATGGATTATCTGGTCACCCTACCATATGCTGAACCTGATTGTCAGAGCTGCATTGCAGGAGGTCCAAGCAATATTGCAGAAGGTCAAGACAATAGTTGAATACTTCCATAGAAGTACAGTTGCTTCAGACAAACTCAAGGACACACAAAAACAGATGGGTCAAGAGCCGTTGAGGTTAAAACAGGACGTGGCCACAAGGTGGAATTCAATAAATTACATGTTGAAAATATTTACGGAAATCAAAGATCCAGTCATCTCCACTATGGCACTAACTAATGCATCTCTGCCAAACTTGTCGCCAGACGAATGAGAAATGTCCAGAGAAATTTTGGACATTATTAAGCCATTTGAGGAGGTCACCACTGAAGTGCGAGTGCAGAAAAGTAAGTAATCCAATATATTTTATTATTATTAATTTTAAAACCACATTTTAAACTCTGTCTCGTATGATGTATGTTCTTCTGTAACCTTATTTTTAACAGAGAAGTATATGCAGTACTGATTTTGATTTTGTTATAATTAATTTATAAACAATTTTTACTCTTCATAGGTTTGTGACTGCCTCCAAAGTCATTTTGATGACAAGCGGTCTTCAGAAGATTGTTGTCCGATATCAAAGAAATCCCTCCAGCTTTGGCCCTGTTAAAAAGCTAGTGGATTCCCTGATGTCAGAAATGACTAGGAGGTTTGGCAAAATGGAACACATTCAGAAGCTTGCTGATGCTACTTGCCTCGACCCAAGGTTCAAAAAGCAAGCCTTTGTCAATCACCAGGCAGCAGAAGACACAGTAAAGAGGGTTACAGCAGCTGCAGCAGCTATTAACCCAGCTCAGAGTGAGGAGGAGGAGAATGCTTCAGACCCTAGTGTGACTGCCAGTACAGGGGCCATGTTCTGGGAGGACTTTGATGAAAGGGTAGCAAGCTTGAGGCCTTCTGCTACCACTTCTAAGACAGATGCTATGATGGAGATGCGGGCCTACCTTGCAAAGCCACTCTTACCCCGCACATCAGACCCTCTGGCCTGGTGGAGATGTTCTGCTGTATACAAAACCCTTTCTGAGGTCATGAAGGCAAGACTTTGCATTGTGGCCACATCTGTGCCATCTGAAAGAATTTTTTCGAAAACTGATTATCTCAGACAGAAGAAACAGACTAAGCCCATCCAAGGTCCGGGAGCTTGTTTTTTTGAACGCAAGCATGCCTTAAAGCAAGTCATAAAAATATAGCCACAGTGTGTTATTTATTTTAAAGCTTATTTATTTGTATTTATTTTTAAAAAGCCTAGCTTGTAGTGCAGTACATATATTTTTTAATATTGTGAGTTAATTTGTTAAGGTTATTAGGCCCCGTGGCTTTATTTTATTTATTTATTTTTTTCATTTAGGCCTATTTTTATTTAAGTTGTTTTTAATTAATTTGGGAATAGTTATCCTCTTTGCTATAAAGCCTTTCTGGCACAAAAGTGTTATTTATTTTAAAGGTTATTTATTTTTATTATTTTTTTTAAAAGCCTAGCTTGTTGTGCAATTTTTTTGATATATATATTGGCAGATTTTTTTTTCTATACAAAGATGACCTGGGCCGGTATGCATAAAACTTCTCAGAGTAAAATTTCACTCTTAAATGCGTCACAATTCTAAGAGTGACGTGATTTTGCTCCTACTCCCAGACTTAAGAATAAGTGCATAAACATTCTTAAGTGTTAAGACTTGGTCTCAGCTCCTAAATTATTTAAGAGAGCTGGAGAGGACTCCTAAGTAGAGACCTGCACTCCCACGGGACCCAACGCACCGAGTGCGGCGCGGGACAAGATTTGATGGGTGAATGCGGGTGCGAGCGGTAAGGTCCTCATGTATGTGCGGGTTGCGGGAGAATAGAATTAATCGCGGGACTCCCGCAAAATGTAATTATCTTAAAATTAATTTATTAAAAACAAATAGGCCTACTGCACAAAAGCAACAAGAACGACTAAATTAAAATAATAACAATTTACAGGCGAATCGTCTACAGAAACTACAATTGCCGTGCTCTGAGTGCCGGGGGACGTAACCGGACACCCCAAGAAGGAATCAGTCTGGTGCTTGGACGGGATGGCATGTTCTAAAAGCTCCGTATTTGTTTCACTTGCTTCCCTTTTGAGTATATATTAACAAGAAACGGAAAATAAACAAATATGTTTCGTTTTATTTTAGTTTAATTAAATGGAATGATGAACATGGACACGAACGAGGAGCTTTTAGAAGGTATGGCCTCTGGCCACTGAGTAGACCTGTCCACCACCATTAGCAGGTGAGTAAAACCCAAGGAAGGGGGAAGAGGCCTGACCAGGTCCACATGTACGTGGTCAAAACGGCGCTCAGGCACCACAAAAGGTGCTAGTGGTGCCTTGGTATGTTGGTGCACTTTAGCACACTAACATTGAATGCAGGAGGTGGCCCAACTACGGACATCCTTCCGCAGCCCATGCCAGACAAATTTTGCGGCCATCAGACGCTGAGATACTCATCTGCCTGGGTGCGAAATCCCATGCACCACCTTGAAGATGTGATGACACCAACCGGCCAGCACGATAGGCCTAGCTAGACCAGTTGAAACATCACACAGGAGGGTGGTGCTACAGTCAAGGAAGGGAACATCTGCCAGCCGCAGACTGGTGACTGCGGTCCTATAAGCCTACACCTCTGGATCGACCTGCTGGCAATCGAGTGTAATCAACTCCCAAGTGCACAGCGCCTGCCACCGAGTGGGAGAGACCGTTACTCGGTTATGCTTCCCTGCCACATGGCAGATGTCAATCATGAACTCCGATATAAAGGAGAGCTGCCGCTGCTGACAAGCAGACCAAGGCTCAGATGTCTTAGCCATCGCAAACGTCAGGGGCTTGTGGTCAACAAAAACTGTGATTGGGCAGTCCTCTATGAGGAACCGGAAGTGCCAATTACAGGCCAAGAAGTTCACAGTCAAAGGTGCTGTACTTCCGCTCGTGTGGCCTGAGCCGTTGGCTGAAAAAGGCCAGCGGCTGCCAGGCACCATCCACGAACTGCTCGTGCACAGCCCTCACAGCATAGTCAGTGGTGAGCACAACCAGAGCATCAGACAACGGATGGGCCAGCATGGTCACATTTGCCAGAGCAGACTTGGTAGCTACAAAAGCCTGGGTCTGTTCAGCTGTACGCTCAAGAACCTGCAGCAGAAAAAAGTCAAGAGGCAGTCACCACAAGTCGAGCGCCAAGAAGTAGATGTCTTTATTTCGGCGTGCCAAAAACACCAAATAGCCCGTGCCCCGAGAGCCCCTGCTTAGGCTTGCGTGATCACCACACCCTGCGCGCATGAGCATAGGTAAGGGACAATGTGAATGGTGCCCTACACATCAATTGCCTCTTTTAGCTCAACTACTGCCTTTTTGGTAAACAAATACATTAGTGGACATTCAAGCTTCAAATCAAATCAAATGCTCATCAAGGTTTAGTTTTCTATCATTAACATTAATTACCCTTTCTGCTTCTGGCTAGCTAGCTGAGGCTAATGCTGCATGCACAGAAAACATGACGGGAAGAGAATGCCACTCAATGACAAATCAAAGCTTATGTTAAACTGCCAAAAACGAGCCACTGAGATGCAGCAGCGAAGCTACAAAAGCTATATATTTTCTGTACGGTATTGTATTATAGCGTGGTTGAATTATACGCAGTTCAGTAATTTAATATGTACAGTACTGTAATTTGAAAAGTGTTTGAAACAGCTGTACTGTATTTTGAAAGAATACAATTCAGCAAAAAGCGACACTGTCCTTTTATCACCTTATATTCAAGCAATATATATACTAATGTCATCTACATGGTAATCTGTCTGAGACATACAGGCAAAGGAAAAAAAATCTTTCAATTATCTGGCTATAGTGATCAATTTCACCCAGACAGACGTGATCGGTATAAGTCGTTTCCATACATGATCTGTATGCTAAACAAGCACTGAGCGAGTAAACCTGCTGTAACTCCCCCCCCCCCACACACACACACACACTGTTGTTAATGTTTTAATGATAGTAAACTAAAACTTAATGAGGGTTTGATTTGAAGCTAGACTGTCCAGTAATGTGTTAGTTTACCAAAAAAGCAATAGTAGAGCAAAAGGAGGCAATTGTATATTGACAAGGATGTAATAATAATAATAATAATAATAATAATAATAATAGTAATAATAATAAGTAACTTTTAGTGGTTTTATTCTATTTCATTAACCATTTGTATGGTTTTTCGATGTTCGGTGTCTTTTTAATCCCTTACTCTATTATTTTTATTGTAAATTGATTCACATCAACTGCTAAGCAGTTTGTTGTTTTTAAATATGCTGTACAAATAAATGTGCCTTGACTTATTTGTTGTCCTTGTCTTATGTGAATGGATAAATATGATTAAGCCTGAGAAAGGCACTGCAATATGACTACATTTTAGTGCATATGACTAAGATTATGTTCTATTGAAATGCTTTGCAAAAATGCAGTTGCTAATAAAAATAAAAGACGACAGAACTGAGTTTGCAGTACCCCATGTGAGATCAAAGTTGCCAGAGCCGGAGACTGGAAAGCAAATTAACAACGTAACACACAAATGAGTTAACACATAATTTCTGGACATGTTACGACCAACTATGGCGGGTTAACACACACATTTTGTACGTGTTACTACATCATTACCCATTAACATGCACATTGTGAACGCGTGTACACATCTTTACACATTAACAGGTACCGATTGTGTGTGTTAACAAGTCAATTTTGAGCATGTTAAGGTGAAAAAATTAACACAATTTTACCCTTTTGGCCTTCCATATTAACTTGTATTCTAGGCATATTCTGCATGCGTATGAGTCACATTACGGGCCACGATATACTTCACAAGGCCCTAAAAGACATATAACAAAACGTAATATAATGACAAACTTCTTGTCTTGTTGCCTGAGTGCCAGGATTTATTTTTTACTTAGGTCAAATTGGTTGTACAAATAAACTCTTCAGTACCATGCACAGACGAAGTATATTAGCTTCCATGGCAGTGGTGAGAGGTTACAGCGCAGAAAATAATAATTATAAAATAAATAAAAAGGGAAAAAATAAAAAATACAGTTCAGTAGCATGTGGGAAACAACAGCAAAATTCATGTCACTGCCAGTGGTAAAACAGCTGGTTTTTATTACATCATATAAAGGGCTTTTGAGGTATTTTGAGTATCTCAGCATTTGTCATAAATATGTATCAAGCTGTGTTTTCCCACAAGTAGCCTAGAGTTATGGCCAACACCCAGACAAGTGTACTTTTTACTTCCAAACACAGTTAACTCCTCTGCTAAACCGAGATACAGATGATCAAAACATCATTGGTGACATTCACAATGTCAGCAAAGCTCAGGACTCCGTGTGGGTTCTCCAGCAGCCCCCAAAACTGTGCCGAACCTTTCACTTGCCCTCACCAGGTTCCTATAGCAACAGCCCAACCTCATGACGTTCTAGAACCACATATCACAACAATGAAAGATGATCTCAACGTCTCGGAGCAGCTCCGAATTCACGGTAACACTGTAGTGATCACCTGAGAGGCTGCCTGTTCAGATTTACAATAAGATGATACTCTGCAAGATTTTAACACAGTTAAAAACATAAACTGTAAAACGAGGGCAGTGCATGACTTTAGTTCTTTCCCAGCACTGACTAGCAATAAACAGACAAAATCAACTTTTCTTTGTTAGTTCACGCAAAATGCCAGCCAGGTAAAGCAAAGCAAATCAGTAATAATAAAAAGTATAAAACATTCCCACCCTTGCAATTTAGCACATGCCTCAAAAATAAATAAATGAAAAAAAATTAAAGATAAATGTTTACAAAGGAGAAAGGTGAAAAGTAAAATCAAAGCATTACAATCATAATTCAATGCCTTGTTTTTTTAAAGGAAAAAAATTAAGAAACCTTAAGATTGCTTATCTCTGCATGCCAAGAGAAAGCTACATCGTTAAACTCATTAATTTATTACAACATACATATTTTCTCATATCATACTGGAAAACGAGCGCAGGGCAGATACATTAGACTCATTTTCAAGCTGCACATAGCCAAGTTCTGAAACCCTGCAGAAGAACCACGACAGAAACGGTGCAAACAATCCAGTGTAAACACACATAGAACCAAACACTTAAAGTCTCAAGGTTTAGAAGCTAGTCACTCTACATAGATATAAAGGGGCAGAGGTGATATTGCATTGAGGATAACTAACTTCAGGTGAGGTGATTCAGAGGCCACTGGAAGTATGCTGATGGAAAGATGAGAATATAGAAGTATGAGAAAGGCCAAATGATAAAGCTGAGAGGTGAGATGGACTCAGTGACGGGGGGTGGGGGGGGGGGTGAATGGGTGATGAATGATAGAGTGGGGTGGGTGAAGAGCACCGAAACCATGATGAATAAAATGGAATGAACAAATGATTAAAGGAGGAGGAGGAGGTCATCAGGGAATGGACAGTGAAGTGATCAGCAGAAAGGGAAGGGGGTGGGAAAAGTTTCAGATGCTCATCATCATTTGAAAACTCCTCTAGCTCTGCATGATTTATCCATCACAGAAGTTCAATTCCAGTATAATTTTCACAATTTTAAAATCACTTTCATGACAGCAGAATCAGGTGGAATTCTTAATCAATAAAATTTCACTGGTTACTCGCAGAGTGGACAGTAACAACACCTACCTACCTCGCTAGATCACGTGGGTTCCCACCTCCATTAATGTAGCCCCACCCTCACGAAAGCCCTTAAAGATTTTTACAAAACTGTTTATCATTACTCTGTCAGACACAATTTATAAAACTTCTCAATTTTTAAGGGTTAAATTAATTATTTAAGGAGTAACGTGTTATTGCTGCAAACATATAACGTGAGTATATGGCTTACACAAGCTGATTTACTTGTTAACGCAATCATAGTCAGTTTTTTTAATGAATTATGGGGAAATAAGCATAATGATAAAACGTTTCCGCCCCCCGGTGGACGAAATGTGCAATATGTGTAAGTATAACGTACATTATGTATAAGAAATTCAGTGTCAAAAGCCAGGACACACAAAAGCCTAAAAAGCATTCACCTTTTAAGTGGATGTTGAATTGAATATATAGAACAGGGCTGTATTGGCCCTAAATTTAAAAAGACACATAGTAGAAAGAGTTTGGATCCAGTTTGGATACAAAAGTGTTTCAAAAAGTTTAAGGTGTATTTGCAAGTTGAGTCAGGCCTCAAAACACGTTCAAAAGGCCTTGGCTTGACAAGCAGCTGTCACCTATTGCAGCAGATAACAGGAAAACTGAGGGACCTGCCTGCCCTTCTGCCAGAGTGACAGTCAACCCCCCTCCTCAGCCCTAACATTCAACGGCTGCTATCCCAGTAGCAGATCCAAAAGTACCTTCCCTCCCCCTTCCCAGACACCCCCCCCCTCCCCAAATCTTCAGCAAGTGACTGAGAGCTCAGTCATTAGCCTTGTATCAGACAGATAAACTGGATGTGGCAGTAATGTTCACAAAGTACTACTGCTGATTCAAAACAAGGTAAAATAATGTAAAAAGAATATTTAAAAACTTAAAATGGAAAATAAATAAAAGATTAGAACATAAATAAATACATTTACTTTACTGTTCTTCCAGAGCTTAAGATCTTAAATAAGTTTCAGCTATTGATGTGAGAGGATCATGTAGAATTTGTAGAATCACTGTCATTTCTTCAAGATACCAATTTCTTCAGAATGTTTTTTCGTAGTTAATTACTAAGTAGTAAAACACTACATTAACCTGAAAAATACTGTGTATATATAACTGAACTACTCATATGTTATTTAGACTGTTAAAATATTTTATATTATATATTATCTGGAGGAAAAAGCAGCAGTCATTTCATATTCACAAAGCATTTCCTTTCATTACAAACTCTGAAAAAGTACAGGTTTATGAACAACCTCATCAGTTTAGGACCAAGATATTTTGTTTAAAAAAAATGAATAACAAGAAAAAGTTTCATAATTCATCAGTCTACTCTCTAGCAGGGGTCTACATAAAGAGTATCTTTAGAAATGATTATTATCATTATTTACATTTATATCATAAAGGCAAAAATATGACAGTCAATCTTTTCAAGTCTTGAGTAGCATGTGAAAAAGACAGAAGTGTATCTAAATTAAGAAAGATGGCATTCCAAAATATCTTGGTCATATTTTGTGAATCACACAGCTTAATTAAAGCATGTTTCTCTAGAGTGTGCACATCCCTGACAAACAGTGCAATCAGCAGCAGAGTAAATCACTCTTCCGCGGCCCAGTGCTGCTCTTCTCTGTCATCCTCTAGAGGGCAGCATTGTCCCACGTCCAGGAAGGTTGGGGTGGAGGGAGTTGAGTCTACACATTGATGGCATGGGCATGCTTCTTGCACAAGGGCTTGTCCTTCTTGGAGTAGAATGGCTGGCCCTCCAGGTTGATGTGGCAAACCTGTGGAAGGAGCACAGCTTGCTGTCAGACCCCACCTACACCTCGAGACACATCTTCTGCAACTCACAGAAAGCCATGTGTCTAAGCTATGCGTAATATGCTCATAACATACAATAATTAGGGATGTGAATTCATTTAAAAATAACTAATTAATTGTACAGTTTTCTGTGAATAAGTGCATGTAGTATTAAAACACACAAGTATTTATACATTGAATCCCCAAATTAACGTGGAAGATACACAAAAGGACACAAAGGCCATGTTCACAAGCTTTCTCTAAGACAGACTCAAATGAAACTTAATTTTCTAAACTGTTTTTGACTCTGGGGTAGTTAATCAGTTTTTTAATGTTATTTATTTCTGCAATAAACAAAAATTTTTTAATCAAATCTAGATCAAGAGTAACGAAGATGAGAAAACATGACAAAACAAAAAGGGAACAAAAATATAGATCTTATCATAGAAATTGATTGTTTATTGTGGATTACATATTATAAACATTTTATCTAGTTTTGTGTATTTTGATTTTTGGCTACCTATTTCAGGGAAATGGTTAAGAAACAATCCTCAAGTGTGACTAAAAAGTTAAGGTAATGTTAGTTGCTCTCTATTTCACTGAAACTACCCATATTTTAATATTTGTTAAATTCCCCAGCCCTAATACTACTACTACTACTACTACTACTACTACTAATAATAATAATAATAATAATAAGAATAATAATAATAACAACAACAACAACAACAACAAATTATTGCAGTATATATAGTATATATCATTTATATTTATATGAATATATACTAATTAGTGGTGTCAATTGATTAAAAAAATGAATCAAGTTAATTTCAATAGGCTGTGATTAATCATGTTTAATCACAAGTTTAAAATGGTAGTATTTGGGAGAATTTTTTGGAATATGAAACAAATACATGTGTGGTCTTGGAACAAAGAAATGCATAACAAACTGGAAAGAGGAATCACGCTTTTTTAATATAACACCTTGGTTTGATAGTTGAAACCATTCAGTTGCATGGTTACAAGTGTATAAGTTGCTAACATAATTAGCAACTATGCTTTTGGGAAATGTACCCCCAGTGTCACACCCTGCTCGTCCGATCCTCCTTTGCACTATCGCCCCCTCGTTAACCACATGTGGAATCCCCATGTTACCAGCAGTTCCTAGTCCTGTCTGATTAAGTTTCTGTATTTTAGTGCCAACCTGTTAGTCTTTCCCCAGTCCTGTCATTAACGTCTTTGGGTCGCTAATTTCTGGTCGTGTTCCTGATTGTGTCCTACCCTTATTAAATCCCGTGTTTCATCCTAATTTCTGGACTCCGGTGCTTCCCTTCCCGCTGTGCTCCCAGCGATCGTGACACCCAGTCTGCTTTTATTTTTTTAATTTTGCGTCACAACCTCTCTGCCACACTGACCCAATAACGACTCATATGAATAGCGCTATCTGCTCATTGGTGCGCAATCAGGACTAGTTCATGACTCAGACACACGAGTCTTTTTATTCTCCTTACAAAGCTCTAAAATATATTTAGTTTTTATCCATGTATTTGAAAAGTAGACTGTTCAAGGTTTTTTACGGAGTTTTTTAGATGGTTTTTGTCAGATTTGTTTTATCCTGCTGATGGAATCACAGACTCCAGAGGTTTAATTTGCGTTAAAAACAGGATAGCATTAAGGTTTCCAGATTAATCGCAAGCATTAACACATTAACAACATCAATATTAATTGATATGTATATGTGTGTGTTCCATATATTACTGGGCTGATGAGTCACTGTCTTTACACTTGTTAACATCCTTGACTCTTGTTTCATCCTTGAAGGAATGATGATTTTTTTTTTAATGATGTAATTTAAGCCGTATTTTCTGTATAAGTTTCTGTTTCTTATTATGTTTTTATGACTTTCACTATTTTTATTATGGTGGAGCTGACTAACTTTCATTTCATTACAGGTCATAGTCCAATTATATCTTTCATGTGACAAAACCTATCAATCCTTAACTATAGAGTGATGCTTCACCCCTGCTGCTCTGGAGGAACAACATACCGCACAAACAAAGCAGGTGTCATGCCATGTATGACCCAGCGCCTCAATGAACTTGTCACCAGCTTCAACGGGGAAGTCGCAGCCATGGCACTTAGTGCTGAAAAGGACGACGTAGTCTGTGGAGACGGGAAGAGGTCAAAATGGATACAGAGAATCCAGCCTTAAGGTTCCTTTAGCTTTCAGAATGATTCAATACCTCCATCACATATGTTATAACAGAGCAGTTAACGGGGTGTGTACCTTTCTCACAGTATGGTTCCCCGTCCTCCATGTGGAAGAGACTGTTGCCAAAGGGCTTCCCGCATGCGGCACACACAAAGCAGTTGGTGTGCCATGTCTGTCGCAATGCGTGCATCACTTCCTAGTGGGCAGAGCATGATGATGAGCATTCAGCACCAGAGGGCAAATACTGAGCCTGGCAAATAGGCTGACTGAATATTTGAGAACGCTGCCCATCAAACCCTTTCCTTACTGTTTAAACAGTATTAAATACAGTTTTTATTCCAGGCCATAGCCTTAATACACCAAATTCATTTCAGAATATGAATTTGTTATTTTCCATATTGAAGTTGTGGGTTTTCAGGCTTAGGGACTGCCCACTCACCCCCATGATCTTGGTGCTACAGCGGGCACAGGTGGGGGCGAAGAACTCCCCATAGCAGCTCTCGCAATACACATTGTTCTGCTCCTCCACAAAGCTGACGTCTGCCAGAGACGTGTGACAGTAATGGCAGTTGAACTCCTCTGGATGCCAGGAGCGACCAAGCGCTACCAAGAAAGGTCCCCTAGGAAGCAACAGTGAGCACAAAATCTGATTTAGATGGGCAGTTGACCAATAAACTGAAAAAGGACATGCTTTAAAGGGGCTTTAGTGCTGTCTATTCATCTAGCTTGTTCTGCTGGAAGTTGCCTAGTTTTGGAGATATCAGCTATAGAAATAACGGTTTTCTCTCAAATTTAGTGGGACTGGAGACTTCCAGTTTAGCAATCAATGGAGTATGTCACGACTTCGAGACTCCTGCACACTTTTTGTAATTTTCTTACTCAAGTTTCTACCCAAAAGTTAAATTTTATTTCTGGTTGACCAAAATGATTTCTACCAACAAAACCAGGGGGGTATTCCATGAAAAAAGCTTAAAAAAAAAAGCTAAAAAAAGGCAGATTTTCCCAAAAAAGTCAGACTCAACCTACCTCCATCTCTAAACTTAGCCTCACGTCATTCCACGACCGCAGTTCAGTGTTAATTAATCAAGGTTCATTCAAGACAGACTTGCATAGTCTCACTTAGTGCGCACACCCGCGATATTGAAGAAGCCCAAATGAATGGATGAACAATAGATCGACCAAATGAGTCGGAAACCCTGTAAAACGAGAGCGGTGTTTCTTTCCGCCGCAGAATAAATGCTGTTGATGGAGCTGTATGAAAAATACAAAGATGTAATCGTTAAAAAAGGCAATACTGTGGCCATAAACACAGCCAGAGAGTTGGCTTGGCAATGAATTGCAGACAGACTAAATGCATAAGTTACGTAAATGTTACAAGTGCTTAGTACAGTGGCATAGTGGTACAGTGGTTTATGCTGTCGCCTTATAATGCAAAAGTTGCTGGTTCGATCCAAAATTGTTTTGCCAGGTCCTTTGAAGTCCGTTATAACGGGATTTTACTGTATTTACAGTCTGTGGTAACTGTTACTCCATTACTAACAGTTGGTGGAGTTTATGTTTATCTTTTTATACACTATTTGTTTTTTTTTCCAATTTCGAGTAAATTTCCTATTTTGTTTCTAGCTATTTGGAATTTGACTCCTTGTGGAGTTAGCACTGGGCTTTCCATCGTGTGGGGAGGGGAGCATTGTACTGAAAGTGCTCGGGGGGGGAGCAGAGTTGTTTGTGTTCCAGCTATTCTGCCCATTGGCAGTTGTTTTCTATTTTTCCTATTGTTTTTGCTCATCTTGTGGTCTTTTTCTTTGCTTTCATCTTTATTTTATTTTTATTGTTTCATTCTTAATTTTTTCTAAACAGGTGTGGGTGGGGACCGTATGCGCAATTCTCCTTCTAACACAGTACTTGGTCACTAATAGTAGTAACTCAGGGTTGCCTCATGGTGGCTCATCGGTGAGGTTTATGAGCTGGAATGTTAAAGGCACGGGAAGTCCGATCAAGAGATCCAAAATATTTACTCATCTGAAACAACTTAAAGCTAATTTATTATTTCTGCAGGAAACCCAAATGCATACCAAGTACCAAGTGAGATTGAAATGCCCCTGGGTGTCTGAGGTGTTTCACTCAGACATTACCTCTAAGGCCAGAGGGGTGGCAATTTTAATTGGTAAATTAATTCAGTTCTCAGTTATATCTGATTGCTAATTTCCACTTATGGCCACGAGTTCTAGTATTTAAACTAATATTGAAATAGCCATTTGGCTGAACAGCATCCAGACCTGTTAGAATCTTATATACCTGGATCATGTCCCCCCTTAGTCTCCTTTGCTCAAGGCTAAACAGATTCAGCTCAGCTAACCTCTCCTCATAAGACATTCCTCTAAGACCAGGAATCATTCTCGTAGCCCTCCATTGCACCTTTTCTAAGGCAGCAATGTCCTTCTTAAGGTATGGTGACCAAACCTGCACACAATATTCTAGGTGGGGTCTTACCAAGGAATTATATAAATGTAACATCACCTCCCTTGACTTAAACTCCACACACCTAGAGATATTACCCAACATTCTATTGGCCTTTTTTATTGCTTCCCCACACTGGCAAGAGTGGGACATGGAAGCATCAACATACACACCGAGATCTTTCTCGTAATCAGCTACCTTTATTTCAGTGGAACCCATAAAATATCTGTACTTTACATTTCTGCTCCCTACATGGATTACCTTACATTTATCTGTGTTAAATTTCATCTGCCAAGTATCAGCCCAGTCACTAATTAAATCCAGATCCTGTTGTAGCCTCTCTGCTGTTAGATCAGTATCTGCTACACCACCCGTCTTGGTGTCGTCTGCAAATTTAACCAGTTTACTGTATGTATTGGTGTCAATATCATTAATGTAAATTAGGAACAATAGTGTCCCTTATCCCCTTTATTGTTCACAACTTGCAATACAGCCTCTTTCAGTCTTTCTGAGGTCCTCCCCCACCTTTACTAGAATGTCATGTTTGGGCATGGAACTTAAGCTTTCACTATATGCTGATGACTTATTATTGTATGTTTCAAATTCAGATTACTCCATATCTGGAATGCTTTTTGTTTTTCAGAGGTTTGGGTCTTTTTTAGGTTATATGTAGTTGCCGCAATCTATGCAATCATCCTTCCCATTCGAGACAGGGGCTACAAGTTTCGTTTTCCAGTCAGTTGGGATATGATGCCTGACTACACAGATCCCTGCGGCCTTCCCTGCCCCCAGCTGATTTACCACCCATGCAATTTTAGTGAGATTGGGTGGTTCACAGCTGACCGGAGGATCAGCTTTGGGAACTGTGGACCCAGAGATGTCCAATATTCTAGCTGGAGGGTCAGCTTTAAACAACTGCTCGAAGTAGCCAGCCCAGTGGGTCACAACTGCAGTATCATCCATAAGGACTGTCCCATCACCCGCCCTGCCTGCAAGTCTCTGAGCAACAGATTCAGATGTGCGTAATGCTTTGATTCCTCTGTAAGCAGGACATGGGTCACTAGACCACAGATGGTGTGTCACCTGCTCACAAATTCGTCTAACAAAGGCCTCCTTATCTGCCCTCAGAGTCCTTACAGCCGTCCTTTTCAGTTCCTGGTACTGGAGTTGCCACCAAGTCATGTGCTGCAACTCCTCTCGATAATACCTAGCGTGCTCTGCGAGATGAAACACCTAATTCTGGGAACACTGGCAACACCAACACAGTCCTTGGCAACCTTCAGGGTCTTATCACGGAGTGTCTTCTACATCACATTAGAGTCAGCAGTGAAGTCTGCAAGTTCCTCATACAAACTGCCTGCAAACTCATTAGAAACAGCTTGATCATGGAGTCTGACTAAGTCCAGCCTCATTCTCCTAGTAGGTGGTAGCCTACTGGATCTAAGCTGAATCTTCAGAGTAGTCTGTGGTCAGAATTGACAAACTGGGCACTTTTGTAGACCCTGCAGTTCTGCAGGAGCCTCCAGCATCTGCCCACAAGGATGGGATCGATCTCCTTCACTGTATCACCAGTATTGGAGTACCAAGTCCAACGATGCGGCTCAGGCCATTGGAACCAGGACCCAATGACCCGCAACCCCTGACCCTTTACAAAGTCAAGGAACATGAAGTCACTTTCACCTCAGACTCCAGACCCATGCGGGCCGACACAATCCTCATAGCCAGTTCTCTGTATTCCGCTCGGACAGAACTGCGGAGTCCGGTAAACTGCAAGGCGGCGGGTTTTGCTTTATGGTCAACAACAGATGGTGTAACCCTGGGAATATTACTGTCCTTTCCTGATCATGCTCACCCCACCTGGAGCTTCTCACAATTCTCTGTCACCCGTTCTACCTCCCTCGGGAATTTACCGCAGTGATTATCTCGGCGGTCTACATCCCACCACAAGTGGACAATAACAAGACTACAGGAAACAAAGAAGGGAGCTAACTCACACCCCAATACAAATCAGTGGAACCCCGGTGGAGAGAGTTAGCAGCTTCAAATTCAAATTGCCACACCCCTAAATGCATTGAACCAACTGCCATGTGATTGGTTGATTAGATAATTGCATTAATGAGAAATTGAACAGGTGTTCCTAATAATCNCCACGCTCAAAATTGCTTAAATCACCTTTCTTTCCCATTCTGACATTCAGTTTGGAGTTCAGGAGATTGTCTTGACCAGGACCACACCCTAAATGCATTGAACCAACTGCCATGTGATTGGTTGATTAGATAATTGCATTAATGAGAAATTGAACAGGTGTTCCTAATAATCCTTTAGGTGAGTGTATAGTGGGACTGAATGGCATTCATCTTTTTGCACAGTAATAGAATTGGTGTGTGGAGTTCAATAGAAGTTCCTACATTAAACTGCTCACTATGAAGAATTACTTAGAGTACCTGGGTCATAATTTCTGGTAAGAGACTTTTGCAAATGTATTTTTTGGTACTTTAATCACCACAGATAGAATGCAATTCAGTTCCATTATATTTGAGAGAAGGCATTTCTTAAAAGAGGCTTCTACTGTATTTCCAAAACGAGGCACCTCCCAGTAGAACAATCTAGACTGAGATAGCACTAAAGCCACTCAGTTTAGGCGTGAATTGCCCCTTTAAAGACAGTTTGATGTGCCGTATTGTACTGATTAGTGTTCTTTTCAATTTACCTGTAACTGCATTTATTACGTGGTTTCATTCATTGAAATGGCTGTAGTGTCAAATTCTGCTCCATTACCTGATGATGTTGTTACAGGCTGCACAAAGGGGGGTCCGACCGCTGGCAGCGAAGCGCTCGGCTCTCTGGGCCACCCCGCGGGCCACAGGAGGGAAGGGGATGGGGGCAGTGACGGGACTAGGGACAGGTGGAGTCTGGCCAGGGTTGGGGATGTAGGCTGGGGGAGGGGGTGCCGACTGGGGCAGAGGTTGCACTTTGATATTGGTGGTGGTGGTGGTGGTGGTCTTGTTGGGCTCAAACTTCTGGGCGAATGTGTTATCAGTGATCCAGGGGGGCCTATTGGAATCAGGAGGCGTGGAGGCCACAGGAGGTGCCACTGAAATATGGACAGGGGTGGGGACTGGAGCTGAGGGGACACAAAAAGGCACCATCAACACCTGAAGGGATTGTCTTGGAACAGTTGAAAAGCAGCACCCTCTGAGGTCCGTACCTGGGGCAGTGGGGTAGGCAGTAGACAAAATGTTGGCTGTGCTGACAACCTTGGGTGAAGGCGGTCCCACAGGGATCTGTATAGAACTCTGCTGTATGGGCGGGGCCTTGCCATATGGCCTGCAGGGGACATGGAGAGGGATGATTGACAACACTGTCAGCCAGTCTGAATTAGGCAAAGCATGTGCTCACCTGTTACAACTATAAACTACAAGAATGCATATGTAAAATAACACTTAAATGCAGTAAGGGAGCGACACATCATGAAATCCTTGGAGCTGTTCTCAATGATGGTCGAGTGAGATGCACCAAGGTGGGGGGTCAAACCTGGCCATGAGATGACCACTGAATGGAGATTCCTTCCTGGCCTGAGTCCCAGAAGCAGGCTTCTTTACCTGGCCACTGCCACCTTCCCCAGATACGATCACACACAGGTTAGTGGGTGAGTTTAATATAGCAAAGACCCACAGAGTGTGACAGCCTGGTACTGAAACACAGTGTTAGAACAGAGAGCCCAGAGCATGTGGCAGAGCAATCCACACAGGCCCCTAGAGGGAGGGAAGAGTCTTTAATCCTAATCAGATCTATAAGGGGGTTAAGGAAACAGCATGTTAGAGTACAGTAGATTAAACAGGTGAAAAGCTTGAGCATCCTTAGCTGACACATGTAGCCTTCAAAAGAGGAAAAACATGAGTCCGTCTGTGTGAGAGGGGATTACACTGGATTCCCAGCATGTTATCCAGTTAAGTCAGTTACATCTGTACCTGGGTGGGGAGGATGTGAACTGGGAGCTGTAGCCAATGGTAGGCTGTGTGGTGAAACTACAATGTAACAGAAAGAGAGGTTATCAATTAACGGCGATGTCATATTGAGCCAGCTTCGAGGGACACACAAACACACACAAACACACACACACACCCCAAGCGCATATTCAGAATTATGCCCATGGTGGGCTGACAGCTGAGCAGAGTCTGAAGATCACTTCCCAAAATAAACAGGTTACATTCACATCAAATGGCTTGAGGCACATGAATAGATTTATTTTCAACATTTTTCATGTACTTTTCCCTTGGGAAACAGAATGCATGATAGTGCTTTCCTCCTTAATAAATACTGACTGTGGAGATCCGATCAGAAGGAACATTGACTTCAGTGACCTGTCAATCTCAGGTATAACACAACTTGGGTAACTTCATTGATATCAGTTAAACCCAAGAAGCTGTGGTATCAGTGACAGCTGAACAAAGATGGATGAAACTAAAAGCAGACCCACGTAAAGGACCCATTTGGAATGTGTTGGGTCTCTCAAACAAAAGAGTCAGCATTATTCAAACAGGATACAATGGGTGGGAAGGTGTGCAGGTAGGGGGGCTGCATCAACTGCCCCTGCTAGTTTCAGTATGCATACAATGTGTGACAAGTTGTAATTCAAGCATTAGTAAGAGTAGTTTGGGTCTGGGTCAGAGTTACTTCGAGTTCACAGTTTAATTAATGATAAAGCACAGAGGTGGGAAATGAGATGAAATGAAATATAGAGAAGAGAGGGGTCTGGATACCGATCAGGAAACAAAATGGTCATTAATAAAATATATGCACAAAAGTATTGGGACACACCTCTATCCTTGAAGTCGGGTGTTTCATTCAGACCCATTGCCACAAGTGTATAAAATCAAACACTTAGCCATGCAATCAGGTTTACAAACATTTGTGAAGAATTGATCTTTCTGAAGAGCTCAATGAATTTAACCGTGGTACTGTTATAGGATGCCACCTTTGTAATAAGTCAGTTTGTGAAATTTCCTCCCTGCTAGATATTTCACGGTCAACTATAAGCGGTGTTATTGCAAAGTGGCAGCATATAAAAGCATTTAGTGGAAGCACAAAAGGGCCAGTAGGTGGCTCAGTGAGCTAATTCTCTGTGCCTGTGATCAAAGGTCATCAGTTTAAGCCTGGCCTTGTCACATCTGTGTCTCCCTGAGCAAGGCCACAAAGAAGAAACGTGAAGTGACAAATCATGCTTTTCTGCCTGGCAAAAAGAGAATTACCCCATGGGGATCAATGAAGTATCTCTTATTATTATTTAGGAAAAACTGAAACTCAACCACAAAGCAGCAGACCACAAAGTAACAATGCAGGATCACCAGTGCTAAGGCACATACGGCATAACAGTCATCAAAACTTTGAAACGTCATTAGCCCCAGCACAAAAACTGTGCAACAGGATGGCTTCAAAACAGCCATCACTGGACTATGGAGCAGAGGAATACGTGAAGTGACAAATCACACTTCTCTGTCTAGCAATCTGGTGGATGAGTCTGTATTTAGCAGATGCCAGGAGACCATTACCTGCCTGACTGATTTGTGCCAACTGTAAAGTTTGGTGGAGGAGGGATAATGGTATGGGGCTGTTTCTCAGGGGTTGGGCTAGGCTTTAGTTCTAACCCTTAGTTCCAGGGGGGACCTCTTAATGTTTCAGTATACCAAGACTTTTTGGCGACTTTTATGCACTACGCGTCTCAGCACTGGCAACTGCACTTTATGCTTCCAACTTTGTGGGAACTATTTCTGTTATAGCATGACTGTGCTCCAATGCACAAAACAATGTCCATAAAGACATGATCAGGTGAGTTTGGTGTGAAAGAACTTGACTGGCCCACACAGAGCCCTGACCTCAGTCCCAACAAACACCTTAGGGATGAATTATGACGGAGATTATGAGCCAGGCCTTTACAACCAACATCAATGCCTGACCTCACAAATGCTCTTCTGGATGCTCTTATTTGTGTCCCAATATTTTTGTCCATAAAGAAAATTGGAGAGAAAATTATATACACAGATTACCAGAGAATGACTGATTCTGAGGGAGTGTCACATAATTTCAGAACCTCAGCCTTCTTCTGAGGTTCCCAGATTCTACAGGATTTCTACAGTAGCTAAACTTTAGTTTAATTTTCTAGTTCACCCTTGAACTCTCAATGTCCGAACTTCAGTAGGAGATTCCTCAGAGTCCCTACTTTTAGGAGAGCACAGACCCATCCCAGGTCAGTGTTAGTGAAGGCTGTCTGCTGACATGCAGGACATGCAGGTCAGCAGTGACGTGCAGAGAGCCCATGGATAAGTCTGGGATAGGGGAACCCCTGCATCCCTGTTCCCTGTGGGATCAGTACCATCCTGAATTAGAAAAGACATTAAGGAACCAGACTTGTGAAGAGGTGACTGCTGATTGAGTATCAAAATCCATAAACTGGTTTGAAAATGATATACGAATCAACTGCACAATGGCTAAAGTAACCACCAGAAAGTTTGCCGCACATCTACGTATGTCCTGACAGCATATAGTTAGCTTTTGTAACCAGTCCAGGCACTGGTTGCCTGAACTGGTTACAGTGGTCACACAGCAGCATAATGCGACCTTGGTGTACAGTTTATACTGTACCTACCGATCACACACAAAAAGATATTATATGCTGTGAAAATGTTGGCACAATATGGAGTGACATGTCCCGCTTGATTGATCCTCCTGTGTGCCACGCCCCCTCATTTACCTTATGTGGAATCCTCTTGTTATCAGCTGTTTCTAGTTGTGTTAATTGAGTCTGTGTATTTAAGTGAGTTTCTGTGAGTGGTTCCCAGTCCAGTCATTAACATCATACGTTTGCAAGTCCTCTGTGTTCCTGATTGTGTTTCCCCGAATAGTTCACCCGACTCCCCGGACTCCTGCTCCTGTTTCCCCACTCCATGCCTGTGATTCGTGACATGAAGAATGCTGTTAGTAGGAAATCCAGCCTCCAAAACAGTAGTGGTCTCCAGCAGGAAGATTTTGATCCCTTTGCCCCCTAGCCCAATAATTTTTCCTGGATATGAAACAGACCTCTCAGACCCCTTAAATGTTTAAAGGGGAGACAATCAGCCATCAAATACAACAATCAGATCAGATTTCCCAAGCTATGCTTGATCCGACACACTCAACATTCAGCCAAGGTGGATCTGCTATACAGGACTACCAAAGCTCTCTCTGAAAATGTTATGCTAGTTCTGGGAAGACTCATTATGGACTTGAAGGTACTTAGTTGATGTGGCCAAAACGAGGCCCTCCATTCAAAATTATAAGCATATCCAGATCCCCCCTGCCTGGGTCTTAGCCCCTATCCCAGCTACCTCAGCGCCTCTGCACGCCTCTGAGTCTGCAGCACGTTTCATTGCTGTGCAGGTACCTCGAAAGCTGGGGCTTCCCCATGGGCAGGGGGCGCGTTCGTTTGGGCAGATTTCTGGAGCGGAAGATGGGTGTGATAGGCAGAGCCTCCAGTGCTGAGGAGGGCGGCAGCCCTGGCTTACTAACATAGTTTCTTAACAGGAGTTAACAAAAGATGAGTGAGAGACAATTCAGGGCTATGTTTGCCTACCCCCCACTTTACATCACTTCTCAAACCTTCCCCACCAGGCATTCATCTAGCATTGGGATTTGGTCTCACGAACGTGTAAAGCCCTGGTAACTCTTGGCACCACACTGACGATGTTTGCTGTCCCTGACTGTCTGGAAGAATCACTGCTGCACTTCACTCCGGAGCTTTCTGTGAGCCAGAAAATATCTTTGCCTATGCATGGTCTCTCCTCTTCCATTGTTTCACATTAACTGTTGTGGTGACGCTCATCAGTGTAAAATGTCACTGGTGTACAAACATGCCGAAACTGCTCAGGCCTACCTCGGCCTTCCTGACTCTAAGGCCCTGTTTACTCAAAATCAGCAAAATCCTCTCTTACAGGAGAACTCATAATGTAATGTTTAGGTACGTGAAGGTGTCTTTGTAGGAATCTAACCGCTATAGGTAAAAAATGGAAAGATAAAATATATTACTAACTAGTCTATCTCAGAAAGAATCCAATACACAACAAACCAAAGTGAACCCTTCCCAGGCCTGCCTGGGACCCATTCGGTACCCTAGGGGTATAGGTAGGCACTGCCCCCTGAACCTCAAGAACAGTGCCTCTCTCTCTACTGATCAAAAACATGGTGGCAGTTTGAGGGATGCTAAGAGACAGCTGTACCTAGACTGAGCAGAGAGAGCGGAGGAGATAGTCGAGGCAGCGAGCGACAGGTGGCAGGGTCCCAACAGGGCTGCCGGCCGTGAAGATGGGGGTGCGGGCAAGCTGTGGAGGACAAGCAGAGTCAGCGAACCCATGCAGAAGCAAAGGGTGAGCTGGGCAGATCTTGGGGGTTCCAGGGCTAGCTGCTGCATGTGGGAGCTCAAAAGTTGTGCTTAAAGAAATGGGGGTTTATTAGGGGATCAAGGCACTGGCTATGGTGAATGCAAGGAGACTCTAAATCAAGGCTTTTTGAGTATGGTGGAGTCCCTGAAAACAGCGGGGAAGAACAGAAAGCTGGCCAGCCTCTCCGTTGTTCCTGAAAAGGAAGAACAGCTAAAACACAATGAGCAGCAAACAGATTCTGTTTCTAGACTGAGCTGCAGCGACCCCTGATTGGCTGCATGTTGAAAGCGACATTCAAGAAAGAAAGAAAAAAAAAGTGCTTGATTGGTACAGGTTTTCTGTAATAACTACGTTTACATTAGTGTTCACACAGTGCTCGATTAAAATATCTTGATGGTTCACAGTCCGTCAACGGCACACATGTGCACATGAATACATTTTTGCACAGCTGTAGCTCTCCTCCATTGTTGTTTTGCCATGCTGCCAGTGCTGGCTGATGACAATAGTGCTTAGGCAACAGCATATAGGCAAGAAACCACATGAATTCTGATCTGACCGTTCTCATTCATGTTGTATGGCCACGAATCGGATACATATCCGATCTAGAACCACATATGAAAGTGACTCAAATCTGATTTGTAAAGATCTGATTTCAGTGTCCACATAGCTTTGAAAACATCATATGTTTGTCACATTAAGGCAAAAAATCTGATGAGAGTCACTTCAGTCTGGTAATATGAACGTAACCATCATTTATCTCCTTTCTACTATCATGTCTCAGCTCTATGCTCATACTGGCCAAAACCACAACATTGGGAAAATCTGGCACAGACACACTGAGTAATAAATCAGTTTGGTCTTCCAGTCTTGCAAATGACAGGCTGTGCTTGCAAGTAGTGATGGGAGAGGCGAAAGTGGACAGTCAAAGATTTTGCTGGAGAAACACATCTCTGTGCGAATGACAGAGTTGGGTATTGATTAATAAGTTATTGAGGCTGGAAGACAGGCACAAGTGGATTCTGCCCTGCTACAGATGGACTCTCTGTTCTGACACAGTGATAAGATACAGTACTGCAGGCCTCATCATGCAGCCTGGGGGACAAGCAGCAGTTAGAGTCTCCTCACCCGATTGTGTGTAAATTTAGCTATGTGCATCAAAGCCCTTTCTCATAACTCACCTTTGAGTCAGTGAAAATCCAGTTCAGATTGCACTCATAGGCTATAATTATGTACTGTGGGTTTTCAAGGTAATGAAAATAAGTATTTTGCATATACTGGGAAGAGTCAGGCTGATATTGTCATGTTTACCATAATCGCAATGTTATCTCAGAGTATATCAGAACCTAACATGACTTCAACAGTGAAGGACAATATATAAAAACATGCAAAAGTCATAGACTCCAAATACCGGCAAAACATTTTCATGGATGTTCAAAGAAGGCTGTTGAAGGTCACACTCAGTCCACACAGCATTACCTCTCTGGGGTGGAGGCTACAGGAGCAGCCACCGCAGTCTGGGCGATAGGGGGTGATGCCGGAACCTGATGGGTCAGGCTTTTTGTCTCAGGGACAGGCTGATTGGTTGAAGCAGCAACAGGCAGAGAAGCAGGAGTAGGGCTTGTGGAGACTGCAGCATGCTCAACAGGAGTACTAAACGAGAGGTTAGGTCCGACAGAATAGAGAATAAACATCTTGAAGCAAATATATACACATTCAGCAAATCCAGTGTGTATATATATATATATATATACTGTATTAGATAGTTATGGCAGTCTCCACAAGTAACTCAGCAAGGCATTCCCCTCAATGTCATGCAAAAATATTTTAATACTGCATGCCCAATGCAAGGATAATCATCAGGAACAGACTGGATATAGCAGGTCAGAGACTGATACAGATTATTTCAGCCCACTCTAAAGGCACATAGTCCAGGATGTACTGGTAACATCAAAGAGAACCTTACAAACAAACCTCTATCCCAGTCATGAGTCCAGTTATGGGAGAAAGCAGGTTTTATGAGTATAGTACAGTAAGGAAAAACTTTATCAACCGTATAGTTCGAACAGGTGAACGCTGGGGTAAAGACCTGTACCCATATGACAACTTCCTTCAGGTAAAACCTTTCATCTACTGAATAAAGTAACAAATGGAAGACAATACGACTTTCATCATCACATATATCAGAAACCAATGACCTCCTTCAAATCCAGCAGAGAAAATACTGATGGAAAACCATGAATATCAATCATATCCCATAAAAATGCCCCCCAAAATGTAGCAAACTTGAGTGCTATTGGATAGACAAGTCAATTGCCCCTCTCTCTTCTTCCCTTTCCTCAGCTCAGGCAGAGGGAAGGACATGGTAGCAGCTGTCATCTAATAGCAGGCCTGTTAAAGCATCGCACCCTTTAGGATGCCCCTGCACAACTCTGAGCATGGGACACAAAATCAACATTACGTTACTACTCTGTCCAGTACAAGTGACAGCACACCAGCATTGAGGCTGAATGCACAAGGTTCTGATAAGCACAACACATACAACCTGGCTACCTGAGTAACCACAGGATAGAATGGCAGCTGCACACGCATTTCCAAGCTCTCAAAACAGACACCTATAACTTGGTTTTTCTTGTTAAATTAACAATTACAATATGTGTTCATATATTCTTTGCAGGTACCTAAGCTATGAAAATGCCCAACAAACACATACACAATCTGTTGGACAGGATGTCCATCTGGACAGCTCACTCCACAGCACAGGTGCTCACTAGAAGAGAACTTCTAAATACAGATCTAACAGTCATTAGGTTGAAGTTCTGTAGGTCTGAAGACCCATCAGGAATACCAATTCCATCATATACCAGCCAAAACTATAACCTGAATTACTTAACACTTTACTTGAGGGAGGATAAATATAGTAGCACACTCTTACTTAATGTATTAATTAACTAGAAACTAAGTGTTACTTCCGTACTGATCCCATGTTCATTCATCATTAATCAATCATAACGGTTGATGTATTTCATGAAGGTACTATATTTATTCATGATTTGTACTTGAATAGCAACTGAGTTACTAAGTTACTTGTGCCCCTTCAAGTAAAGTGTAAACTATAGGGTAGTTAGCATATTAGCAAGAAAAGTGTTTAACCAAACAAAGCTATACACTTACTGCTTACACAGTGACATGTCCAGTACTTTACCAAGTAAAAGTGTACTGTGAATACAGGTATTAGTTAAATGAAGTAAAAATTACCCAAACAGAGATCTTATACAAGAAAGAAAAGATTAAAAAAGAGACAGAACATAAGGGGGGCAAGGAGGGTAGAGATTGAATTACATATATGGTATTTGGAGAAACAAGTAAGTAGCTAAGGTGGAATAGAGGGACCAAGATGGGGTGGAGTTGATATTTACATTTTATTTATTTAGCAGTTGCTTTTGTCCAAACTGACATATAAATGGTGAGTAAAACTGATTTTGCACACACCTTACGACGCAACTTGGACACATTACCAGTGATGTTTCCTGAGATGCCCTGGAGTTTCAAGACATCAGACACCCTCCCCCAGACAACCCATGAACTCTACTGTAATACATCACAATACACAGCAGAAACAGACTGGCCAAAAAAGCTCCTGTGGCTGGAGCGAGCCCCTATACCTCCCAGAGAATCTCCTCTCACAACATCCCTGAACTGCTCTCTTAATGCATTAAGAACAAAGCCTTGGGGGAATAGGAGGGAATGATATTTCCCTTCAGTAATATTAAATCTTGTCATGCTGTAATCAAAGTGAAGATGCAGCTGGTAACTTTGTCTATGCAACAGTCAATCAAAGGGAATGAGGAATTTAATCCTCAGCTACACCCTGACCTCATCTTCCGGATTTAAAATGACATTACAGATTTAAGCATTTTTAAAGATTTACAGATTCCTACATAACGGATCTTTGCAAAGTGACTGTCTTTCAGCATTTCTGAGAAATGCACAAGAAAAATACTCTAAGACTGGACTGCTTCTTCTATATCAACTCCACTCTGCGAAATCCCAGCCCATTGGTGTTTCACAGGTCATAACCTTGTTTAGCACTTAAACACTGTTAATACTGCCTGCGATTTCTCCCATGTTCCTAGCTCACTGAGATGAATGTGAAAAGCAGACCACAGAAACAGCCGCTGATTTCTTTCTGACTAGGGCCTTCGTGTTATCCCCAGGTCTATGACCAGGGCTGACAGAGTTTTTGCCCATTGACATTAAATCAGCCAGCAAGTGTGGACTGGCGTCTGAACATTTTTTTTGTATGGAGAGGCCTTTCATTGACATTTTGAGTGTTTTGTTTTATTAAATTTGAACTACTTTGTGATATTTGTTCTTGAAAGGTGATATACAGGCAGTCCCCAGGCTAAGAATATCCAACTTATGGACAACTCGTACTTACGAGTGGACTGCCATAAGGATTATTATATTAAAAATTTGGGCTTGTTATAATGAACACGTGGAACTACTATGTGACGCTCAAGAAAACGCAGCTTCAGGGGTTTCTCAGCTCGAGGTACATTACAGTAAGGCCTATTACGATACAGTACAGTACCATGTGTAGTTACTTTTATTATTACAGTATAATTATTATTGTTATTATGTACTGTATTATGATTTTCTGACTTACCCACAAATTCGGCTTAAAGACAGACTTAGGGAATGGATCTCATTTGCTGGGGACTGCCTTTATACGTGAACTACTTACTCATGCCAAGAAAATAAAGCTTTAACAAAAGGACACATTTGATCAGTATGTGAGGATCCAACCACACAAGGATCGAGCTTATTAGGTTTCTTTTTAATCTTTCTCCCCTCTCTTATGGCTTAACTCCTCAGATGTAGCCTTTTTCCGCCCTTATGCATGTAAGCACATGTTGACAGAAACCAGTCATATGCTCTGTGTGTGTGATTTAGCTTGTAGTGATAAGTTATAAAATGTGTCACATCACTTCAGATTTTAATCATTGATGTTTAATTTGTTGCTTTGAAAAAAATAATAATAACAGCCACAAAATAATATTTGATTTAGTCATTTTCAGTGACAATAGCATTCTCTCATTGAGGTGGAGGCACCCAAGCTCACTAGAGCGGGTGTCAAGGGGAACAGGTGTCCTGAGACACCAACAAGGGCATCATTCGATTTGATTGCATTCCCTTTTGTTAGCTGGGCATAGCAATCTAGGTAAAGTGGGGGTGGGGTCTAAGAAACCATCCTCTTGGGAGGCTGCTAGGGATACAACCCCGGCTGGCTAGTGCGGTAAATCCACTGACACAGGAGACCCCCAAGTCAAGGCTGCTGCAGCTACTGCTAGCCGCCTACCTGGATCGCCTGGGTAATTCTTCATATTCATCTTGTTCTGAGAAAGAAAAAGAAAGGGGATGAAGTAGATCTCAGCTATGTGAAAATCGCTACTGTGTATCTACTGCTATGTACACTTAGCTACTGCTACATATACCCAATAAATGTAGATGCTGCTAGAATAAATAAATAGTGGGCTAATTGCAGTGCATGCTGAGTGGACTTACCGAGCTCAGTTCCTGTCATGTGGGCGAGAATGCGGAAACACTTGGACTGTGGGTGGGTGGAACGCCTGCTCCTCTCGGCTGCATCTGTGTCCCTGTTCTCGGCCTGCAGCACGGCCTGATAGACTGGAGAGGTACTGTCTACAAGAGGCTCTCTAACAGGGAGGATACTGCAACCACAGAGAGTGTCGCACCATGTCAGGGGCACAGAGGTTTTCGCTGAGGGGGCTGGGAGCTTGGTGGGGTGGGGTGGGGGTGGGGGATGGGACAGTGGAGTGACTGAGGCTAAAATCACACCCCACTCACACCTATCTATAGTCCCGTGATATCCTGTGAGTCAGTAATTGGTATTGAGATTAAATTAATTGACGTAATAAGGATAAAGAGCACTGTACAGCAGAAACCAATAATCTGGTCTCTAGATGTCGTTTGTCAGTTACATTAGATGGAAAGTAACTCTCTTTCTTTTTCTTTATTTCTTTTCTTTTATTTCATATGGCTTCCCATGGTACATTACTCCTGAAATACAGAACAAATGAGGAGATACTCTGTCCTTCCTGTATTATAATGATGAGGGTGAGACACCCAACACGATATTGTTATCCTCTAATTACTTACTTTTCACACACACACACACACACACACACACACACACACACAGTCCTTTAACAGAAGGATGACAAAGACTCAGAACCTTGCTTTTGGTTGGTTTGGTATGGTACATAGCTTTGGTTCTTGGTATACCACGCAAAAATGATACTTTGTGTTGTCTGACTGACACACAAATGGCATTGAAATCTGTAAAGTGACTGTCGTTTAGCTGTCTAGTAGTTACTGGGTAACATTTTCTACAATCATTGCAATGCTACTGCTGGTGCAAAAAGGTCCTGCTGTAAAACGGACCTAACAGTGTATGCTCATATCTCTTTTTACAAAATTCCCAGCTCCAATTTAAAAACCTGGTTATGTCAAAGGTCACATTGGAGAGCTAGGTGTGGAAAATGAATGACTGCAGCAGTCGGTCACTAGAAAACCCTAGGAGACTCTGAACATTTCAGAAGATCCAGAAAGTACAGAAGAAGGGTGACCATGACAACACAGGTCATATGCTGCTTAGAAACACCATGGATATCAGAGTAAATGGAGGCTGAGTGACTGATCTATGAATCTACCTGTCACGTCCAACAATTCCACTCTGTGATGACGTCACTGCATTGGGGGATGGGGGGTGCAATACCATGCCAGCCATCTGGCCTCACATTGGACATAAATGCCATGATGCCAAGGAGGCCAATGATGAAGACACCAGGAGCGGACTATAGATGAGGCTCAGAACAAGACCACAAATGGTGTTGAATAAAGCAAATGCAAAAATGAGGTTAGCAAGATGCGAGGGTGGGGGGTTTACAGGCAGAAACGATGGGGGGCAACAAGAGGAGCCTGACTGTCCAGGCTTGCCATCAACTCCGGACGACGACCAGACTACTTACACAAAGGGGGGGTTGGCAACTGGGATGTCACTGCTGAAATACAATTCGCCATAATTTGTACAAATCGCCAGTCCCCCAGCACATGGTATTGGCAAGCAGCATGGCATGGGTAAGATGGAAGGATGTCGAAGGAGTAAAAGAAGAAGAAGCAAACATGAGCAGTGTTGGACCCAGGAGAAACATATACACTTCTCCTCAACACATTGTATAAAATGCTCAGACAGAAACATCTCAAGACTAACCAATGTCATTAGTGGTACTCTATGTCATGCCCTTCCTCTAAAGCACCAGTAACTACCTGGTTAAGTGATGACCTAAACAAAACCATCCTCAACAGAAGAAGTGGGTGATTTTCAAAAAGCCTACAGGCAACACACATCTCTGTGCATCCACCTGTTTGAGAGGTCTAAGCCTATTCTTTATCACCACAGCCTGCACCCAGGTAAAGTCATTAACAAAGAAAAAAGCAAAGACACTGACAATGCCTGTTACAGCAAGGCATTGTCTATACTGCTGATGTCCACACCCGTGTCACATTAGGACCTAGTACAGGAATGCAGCAGAAAAAGACAGAAAGGATAATGAATGAAGGAGCCTGTGTGAGGCTTTAGGGTGCCCAGGATAACGCCACCTAGCCCTTGTCAAGCCCACTGTGACTAGAAGAGTTAGCAGGCATGCAAGCTTGAGGGCTGAAGGTGAGTGTGGATGTCTCAAGGACACATGTGTAGGCTGTCTTACCTGGACAGGTCACTGCCCCTGGCTTGGGACTGACCAGCTATGGCATCCATGATGGCATCCTGGGAGTACATGCTAATGGGGGTGTTGTACTGAGCATGTATTATGGTGGCCTTGCCCCCTGGACCCTTGACCTCGATTGGCTTGTGCGTAGACAGGGTGGAGTCTTTCAGCATGCTTGGGTTGAAGCTGGAAGCATACTCATTGCTGTTGGTGGTAGCGGGAAGCGGGGGGGTGCAAAGTGGGCAGGATAGAGGCAGAGAGAGTGTGAGGCCCGCGGTTGTGAGACAGTGGCAGCTGTTAGTGGACACCAAGGTCACCTGAGGCTAATAGGTAAAGAAACACCAAATGATGTTCAGGCCGTGTGACACGAGCAAAGCAATATAAATGACCCATGTGTCAATGTCTAGAATGACGACATAAAAGTGACATGAAGCAAACCTTAAACTGAACCTGAACGAGGTGTGTGATCAAACATTCTCTACCTGCATGCTGAACCAGAGCCTTACTCATCACCATGGACACCTGCATGGTTTCCAGATTCCCACCAGAATACTCCAGGCATTTCTATGCTGCACATACATGCCTCACTTCCTGTCCCAATGAGCGCATGTGAGCCCCCAGTGGGTCACTCAGGCAGGGCGCACGGGAGAGGGGACGACGCAGAGCTGTCAGCCCAGAACTAACGGGCATGCAATGCAAGAATGGCAAAAAACCCAAACATGCTGGAGTTTTCTCACTGGCGTCAACATGCACAAAGGTGCTTAAATTGCAAAGAACACCCCCAGCATTGGAAATAACATGCCATTCTCTTATGCAAAGGAAAGGCGTCTGAGAATGGATGCAAGAAGGGGCAATGGCCCAGAACAGCCCCCCCGCCACAGCATGCTGCTCAGAGCTCAACATGCCAAAGCACAACCACGCTCCCGGGGAGGGTACTAACTTGATAGTGGTGTTCATGACCTGGGCCATTGGAGGGAGACAGAGAGAGACAGAGATAGAAGTCAGGGTTAACAACACAGTACCCCACAGATGGAAGTAACAGAAGAAGAGAAGGATTGTACGGAAGACAATTGGAGGAAGACAAATCCAAGGTTGTTTTGAAGGCTTTTCGACATCAGAACATCTGCACTCATTTATTTAGCAAGTTCTTTTATTGAAAGCTCCAGGATGTGGTGGTTGCAACCAAAAAAGCACTGGCACTGATACCACTGTGTCCCACAAGCCTGCAGGAGGGGGCATGAGAAATGCATATGGCCAGATAAGTGGAAGGACAAGGGGGGAGGTAGGGGAGAGGGGGATGTGTGCTGGAGAAGAGAAGTTTCAAGATTCAAGATTCAAGAGGGGAGGAAAGTGAATGCAGAGCTCAGCTGAGCCTGAAAACGGTCGTGTTTACCTTCTAAAAGGACCAAAAGCATCAGCAAGCTTGCTCCACTATTACTGTACCAAGGAAGCGGACTGTAAACAGCACCAAAGGTGCATACCAAGCCACTCTGTTTGGCCACCTCTCCCTTCCTGTGGTATTAAGACTTTGCTTAAACGGGCTGAATGAATCCATGGAGACTGGAGACCAAAAGGGATAAACTTGAGAACAGAGAGGTGTTCCAAGACTGAAAAGCAAGACATTTGCTTTACTGCTTCTTCCTTTAGGTGTCTCAATTCACCATCTCAGACACTAATACAAGGAGCCACTTGGCCCTTCGTATTACCTGGAGAAAGGGTACCCGGTGCCACCCCCCCCCCCCCCCCATCAGCCATACCTTACAGTATAAATCATAAAGCACCGGGAACAGACTGTAACACAAGACGTCAGCCTGAGACACAGCTGGCAGGCTGAAGAATGCTTGGATTTCTGAACCTTGAGTCATCCTTCTGTTAAAAGACGAGGCCACAGAGGATACTGCCGGGCGAGGTGCCACTGGCTCTTCTCACTACATACCCCGCGGGAATCCCAGCGGCCAAGCCCTTCCCTTTGAGGCTTCCCTGGAGCACTGCCATCTCCCTCAGTGTCTCTGCTGAGTATAGCCCAATGGGAGTGTTATACTGCTTCTTTTGGCTAGGGGGCGCTTTGCTGGCTGCACCTGGTGAGCCAGGCCCTTGGGACCTCTTTGAGGGAGAACTGGCACCAGCACTGGTGACCACCATGTCAAAGGTCTGGGTAACTTCCTGCTTTCTGTAGGAGGGGGGCTCTGTCTCACTGGATGCCCCTAATGGCCTGGGGGAGGCAACGCAGGCCCCATTGATTAGGCCTTCCAGGTCCTTGGGGTGAAAAGTGGAGATTAGAACAGAAAGAGCACCAGCAGTAAAATTATTACCATTCAAGAATCAAGATGTAAAATCGCAGTATTTCTCTTTTTCCTGTAGCCGTACAGGCAGGCACTCCTGATAAGCCACTATGGGAAGCCAACCAATCACATGAGCCATGTAGTCTCTGTGATCATCTCTGTGCAAAGGGGCCCCTTTGCTTTTTATGGCTCTCTCTATCTCAGAAGTGACCCGGGTGGGAGTGGGGAGCTCCTGTAGTCGGGGGTTTTGGGTGCTCAACTCCAAGTAAGCCTTTACTATACTTCCCCTGGCCCATAAAGCGGTTTAGCTACTTACTCTTAGTGATTTATGAGGTTAGGGTCCTTTTAATCTGAAAGGGGAATTCTGGTTTTACTGCTTCTGAGGAGGTCCGAATGGGTTATGGCATTGTGATTGTAAGGATCGTTTCAGCAAAATGGTGGTTTATTGAACACTAAAAATAATATAATGTAATACAGTGTAGACATTCACCAGGTATTGAAAGGCAGTTCAAACACAAATTAAGTGCAGTTCTTCACTCCCCTTTATACCCCAAAAGACCCTCCCCAACAAGGTATTGTGTGTAGGTGTTGTGAGTCAATTTGCATATACTGTAAAGACTGACCTCCTGGACTGTGAGGAGCCCAGGGCAGGGAAAGGGCAGGACAGGAAGGAGACATTCTGATGATTGTAATTCAATTACTTCCTTATCACCCTAGTGGTGCCAACTGGAACCCCTATTCTCTCCCTGACTTCAACCATGATCATAAATTGCTAACACTGTCTGTATTCAAATGATCAAACAAGAACACTGGGGCATCTTTAATACTTTTCCTTACATGTGGAAAGAACTCCAGGAGAGCAAGGCGGAGCCACACCTACCTTCTGAGGTGGGATGATAGGTATGCAGGTGTCCATTCTCGGGGGGGCTATCGGCATTGGAATGGGACGTTTTGGCCTGTGGATGACAGAAGCAACCTCTTACATCAGGACCCAAGATGGAGATGACAGCAAACAAGCTGAATTATTCAGGAGTACGTAACAGCAACTGGTGTGAGTTTTTAAACGACCCTTAGGAAGCATCCGGCCCCACTCATTAAGTGGTGGGCTCTCAGTTAATTCACGCACTCAAACACGCACTCAAACACGCACTCAAACACACACTCCTCCACACTCCACAGCAGAACCAGCTACTGTACTTTTGGTCCTTTAAGAAAGTCTTGGTTTTCCACTGGTGTAAAAACTGGTACTAGCGCTAAGTGACACCACAACATGAGGCAGGGTATGTTGTACTGAATTATAAAAATGGCTATATCATATTATAGGGCTGGACGATATTAATACAAATGCTGTCTATAAAAAAGGTTGGACGCATGGACAAATGAAGAGACCCAAGGTTTAATTGTGATCTGGTCAGAAGAACAGATACAACAAGATCAGGATAGCATAATGAAATAAAATATTTTGTATAATATACTAGGAGAGCACTTAATTGAAATTTGTGTTTTTATTGTAATAAATATTGGGGTATTTATAAAGCAAAAAAGGAGTTCAACATAAATTTCTCACAAACCCATCTGGGAGTTTACAGTGGACATAAACTTTAAACTGATTTTAAAACATATACTAGATAATCTTGAAAAGGAATAATCAGAAAAACTGCAAAACGTGCTTAATGTTTTTCTTCTTATGACAGAATAAAAATGTTTTAATAAAACTTAAACTCCATGCACTATAATGTCCCTACCAAATTGAAGGTAAGAAAAAGCCTGATCTTAGTCTAGCTGACTAGTGATGTAAGAATTGCATGTGCATAATATGTATTAACATTATATTATTGCATTAATATCGCACATCATCAAGCCCTATAGTATATAAATCCATTTTTCAAATTCAGTACAAAACACCCCATCTCACGTTGTGACGGTGTCATGGATAGCACTGAGGAATCCCCATCATCGTCTCAGCCACGCCCCTCCAGGGGTTCTGATCGATAGGGCTTCCCCGAGGTTTCGTGTCCTGTCAACCAGTTTTTCTGGCCGTACCGGTTGCTCCCGTTCCAGACACTCCTCTCCCAGCTGTGTCTTGTTTTCCCCGGTCTCGGTTTCACTATATCAGGCAACTCGGTTCTTTGATCAGTGCGAGATCTTCATGGTGTGCCCTGAGTTCGAGCGTTTTTTTCTGGTGTGTGTTTCCCTGTGTTCTTACCTCTGCTACGTTTCCTAGACTCTGAGTTTCTGCCTGCCCCCTTTCTGGACCGACGCCGATCGGCCGACATCAGCCTGGACCCTCGACTGTGTTTTTCGCTTTTGCCTCTTTCTGGACCGATGCCAATCGCCCGACCCCTGCCTAGATTCCCGACCGTGTTTTGCGCCTCTCCCTCGTCTGTACCGAAGCCGATCTTCCTATCTCCCCACCTGAGTTTCAGCTACGTTCTCGGGCTCTGCCCCGGGTTCCTCTGACTTCTCTGAGGAGAGTAGTAATAAAACAACAGGACTTACAGCTTTGCCGCGTCAGTGTCCGTCTTATTGCCTTTACAACAGACGGACATTCGGGGTCAGTACCAATTTTAATGCCAGTGGAAAACCAACACCTTGAAGTACCATACTTTTGGTATTTTCTTGAAGTACCAAAAGTACAGTACCTGGAGCAGTGGAAAAGCACCCTAAGACCATCACTACAGTAGTTCCCTCCCACCAGGATCACAGCCACAAACCAACAGATTTATCTGGGTATCTTTAAATGTAATAAATCCCACAGCTGTCCCTCTTACCCTCTGTTACACTGCTAGAATGATCCAGAATGACTGTAAACTGACATTAATGGGCTACAGGGTAGAAAAGTAAAAACAGTTGGTATTTTACTACCTGCTTTGAAAGATGTGTTCAAGCCTCAAAAGCAATTATGCCAGAATCCCTAATGTCAATACATAAAAACAGGTCAGCTGAAGTTGCTAATTGGTAAATGACCTGAAAGTAAAAATTCAATTCCCCTGGCTCTAATGTGGCAGCATAGGTGGGCCTGGGTTGTCCTGGGCCTTCCCAGATGAAACTCAGGCCCACCTATTCAGTAATCACAGCAAGCAACAAAATATGATAAAATTATTGTGTCTGACAGGTACACGTGTGTGTGGTTAGATCAATAGGAGGAGATGTGCTGTTGAGAGGCAACTAGATTTTTTTTTCTTTGTTTATTTGGTCTTAGTAATGCTAGAGGTCATTTAAAAACTTTATAAAAATATGCAGTTCAGTCTGTAGTGTGATTTTGTCATTGTCATGGCGGGTCATGGCACAGGCAGGAAAGAAGGTACTAATAATATAACAATAGATACTTTATTGATCCCCATTGGGAAATTGTCTTTACATGTTTCCCAACTTGCTCTCTGTAGGTGAGAGCAAGCTGGCTGCAAAGGGCACCCACCCATAGCAGCACCCAGGGGTTAAGGGCCTTCCTCAAGGACACAAATGTGCTGAGGCCAGGCTTGAACCAGTAACCTTCTGATCACAAGCACACACTGCCCCCACAGAGCAGCTCCAATACAACAGGGGTATACTGAAGGTACTCATCACGCCAGGATACACAAAATAAAGGATCACAAGGAGTCAGAAACAAAGAGGGGAAATAAGGAATTAACTAACCATGGGATAAACACAACTAAGAAACTAAGCAATAAGCAGAGTGACAACATTCAGTTGTCAAACAAATATGCTATAACATAGACTATGACAGACTAAAGAACAGAGCAGAAGCAGGCACTTAAATACACACAGACAACCAGGCTAACGAGAGGGTAGGTGTGGAACATAAAACAAGTAACCAAACAGCAAAGGCACTTGGCAACAGGTGAAGTAACTTACAATTAATAAGCACAGAACTAGGGAACTTTAACAAACACCGAAATTTGGAAACATTAATCACACATTGGGAATTACCATGCTAGGATGATTAACATGGAACAAAAATACAAACAGAACCAGATGTGAACAAGGCACAAGCAGGGCAAACCTTAGACAGGGAAACAACAATATATAATAACAAACACTGGGGAAAGAGAAAAAACAATAAATACAGACAAACAGGTGAGGTCTCTGGCCAGCCTCAAACCCACAACCAGAGGGTTTCAGCCTCTGAACCACACTCTCAACCAATACAGCTATGCAGTGGTCCAGGGAGCTGAGAAAACACACTAGGGCTGAAGCGCTATGAGACAGAGAGGGGAAAGGCAGCATGACCAGCAACGCCTGCTGGCCAAACAGTGAAGAGACACAAATGGCATGGTCAGACGAGCCCTGAGCCTAACAGTCGCCAAGTGAATTGTTATGGGACTGGCCCACCTGTTTTTTCTACTGGCCCATCCATTCTATGATTTCTGGCTCTTCTATTGGTCTGGCTTGATCCCCAACATCATTACAGGTCCACCAATATCAGACAATCAGTGGTGAGGCTTGAGAAATATTACACAGGAAGTCTCAGGCAGAATGACACAAGGACCAGACGCACTAGGGGCAGCATACAGCCAAAGTGACAAAGAAGAAAGGTTGGCGAATTAAGACCACAGCACAACAGTGGCGAAGATTCAGAGCCCAGGCCCCAAAGGGCAGGTTTCTAACAAAACCTGCATGAGTGGAACCACACAGTTCCAATGTTATAATGACAGAAGCACACTGGCAAGACCACCCCATCCTCCAATTCTGCTGTGGGTAAAAGCAAGGCAAATTAAAAAAAATGGCTGCAAAGTGCACTGGAAAATCACATTTCCAGTGCACAAAATGACCATAAAAGCACATCTATGGAATTCTTTCTTCAATTCAGAGGTCACCTGAAAGGAGAGGATGAAAGACCCAATATTCTCAGAAAGTTCTGAAGAACACATAACACTCCCATCCAAAAGTCTACCTCTCCACCAAGCGAAACAGCAAACAAAATCAGAAACAACAGAATGACAATTGTCAAAACCAGGGGTTCTGGAACATGAACCACTGGTTGAATGTACTTTTACTTTTATGCTGTCATTTGTCACCAAGGGCTCATGAGAAACCCATGGTACACAGACAGCACTGGTATGGGACCTCCTGCTCATCCTGTTAGCTAATTTCACTATAATGTCTGTCAGGAGACACTTTTTATGGATCTTTTTCTCCAGTCCAGGGATGACTCACATCACCCACTGTCTGGAATCAGTCATGCTTTGTAAAAGTAGAAAAAAAATACTCTAACATCAGGTGAAACGTTAAAGGGTATATTTTGGTGGTTTCATGGTGAAAGGGTAAATGATTCCAAATGACAGTTGCTAAAACCGTGACAAGCCCTGAGGTGAACAAGGAACAGATTCTAATATTTACCAGGGACAGGAATGTCAACTTTAAATGTTTCCAGGTGACCGAATGGCTAGTGGGATTTCCAATGATTTAATGGACCCTGTGGTGCTGAGGCATGGTGATGTGGGTATTAGGGGGTGTGTCATGGAGAGTGACTCAGCATATAATTGTTGTTTCACCACTGATGGGAAGTTTATCAGAATCACCTAGTAAAAAACAAACAGATACTTGGTCCCTGAAAATCCGATGATTGGACCCAACAAACCGTTGGGATGACCTCATCTTCTTTGTATCAAGAGTCATAAATCCATCAAGCTATTCCCCATTATTTCCCTGTAAGCCGATGTGGGAAGGACCGGCTTCCCTTAGTAACACAATGGCGTAGAACTGGGGTCTTAAACTCCAGTCCTGGGGGGCCGGAGCCCTACACAGTTTTTGGTTCACCCTCATTTAACACACCTGATTCAACTCCTTGTGGTAATTACCACACAGCTCTTGAGCTGAATCATTCGTGGTGAAACAGGGAAAGAACTAAGCTACCCCTGGCATAGGGGGCCAGCACTAATGCCACAATCCATGACTGCGAAGACAGCACAGACAGCTCTGAGATGGCAATATAGTATAATGTAATAGCCACCAATGGCAGCTTAAGTCTGAAACAATCAGTACTCACTTCTTCATGTCTATACACCACATTTAACAGCTCCTGCCACCTCACCAATTCACTTAACCAAAAAAGTCCAAGAAAATTAATGCTGTGACCTTTTCCTTCTAAATACCACCACCCAGCGCTGACAAAAAGGCATGCATGGCGGTGGCCATATTTAGGTCACTCAAGGGAAAGGATTAGGTGCTGCTTACAGGGACAGGAGGGCAGGATTACTGGGGGACATGTCACAGAATGACCAGGAGAACCAATCCCTCCTTATAAGTGTCCCTCAATAGAATCTCAGTAGAAGGCTGTGCTCATTCTGCAATAATCATTCGCAGGACGCAAGATGGAGGGTCTAATTGTTGCTCCCCCTAGCCTCTATCCTGAGATTAGTCTCAAGATGGCCTCTGTCTCTCCACTTGCAAAATCAAGCTTACGTAATTTCGGGGTTGTTTTTGATCAGTTCTTAAGCCTTGATTCACATATAAAGTCTGTCAGCCGCTCTTCTTTTTATCATTTGAGAAATCTTTCTAAACTGAGGTCAGAATCAGAACTGGAGGTTCAAAATCAGAACTGGAGGTTCAAAATCAGAACTGGAGATGCTAGTCCATGCTTTTATTTCTTCACGTCTAGATTATTGTAATATTCTGTATTCAGGTCTGAACAAATCTCTCCTTTCTTGGCTACAGTTAGTTCAAAACGCTGCTGCTAGGTTTCTAACCCAGTCTGACAAGAGAGCACATACTGTATTACTCCAATTTTGTATTATCTGCATTGGCTGCCAGTTCTTTTTAGAGTTTATTTCTATGTCCTGGTACTCACTTATAGGACGTTGCATGGTCAAGCTCTTAAGTATATTGCTAGTCTACTCCAACGCTACACAGCCAGCCGGGGTCTTAGGTCTAGTCAACAAGACCTTCTAGTCGTCTCCCGCACACGTGGGGATTGTGCTTTTCAGTCAGCTGCACCTAGACTCTGGAACGCTCTTCCACTAGCTTTGCACTCTGCTGAGTCCGTTGACTCTTTTAAAATACATCTTAAGACTTTCTTGTTTAAGAAGACCTTTGAATAGAGCTGAGTTAACACTGCTTGGGCTTTATTCTCATATATTTTTCAAGTGTTTCTATTACTCATGTTTTTTCATATTGCACTTGGTATGCTTATTTTTAATGTCACATTTTTTGTACAGCACTTTGTAACCTGTGTCTGTGAAAAGTGCTTTATAAATAACTTTTACTTACTAACTTTACTTACTCATTCAAGTTTGAGTACTGCTCAATGTTGTCTTTACCTTGCTTAGTTTATTATAGTAGTGATGTTGCCATAAACATGTTCAATAGCATTTCCTGTTTAGTATTATGTACAGCTGTACAGTTCACACGTGTGTGTGGCAGCACAAGTTCTGAAGAGCAGCACAGGTGTGCACTCTGCGGGGGTGTTCAGGCAGGGGGCACCTTTGCATTGTAAGGGCGAGATTGTAACCGGCACACTTGATCTTGTTCTGAGCCTCCAGGTGGGTCATGCCTTCAGTGCTGACTCCATCGATGGCCACAATGACATCACCCTGGGTCAGGCTGCCCTGGGAAGCTTTGCTCCCCGGTGTGATCTGTGGATGGAATGCAACAGTACTGCAATGACATCCTTAACCTGAGGGGGTGCTACAATAAATTTGCCATTCTTTGTCATCACAGTAAAATTGTACATGCACTACGCAAGCAATAAAAGACTGAACAAAATAAATAATCAATTAAATTCCTCAAATGTACATATGATTAATATAAAATGTTTCATGTGAAAGTATCTGCATCAATGCCATCACGAAATAAAACTGATTAGTCATCTTTTGTTTTTCAGTCAGGATCTATAAGATGAAGTGATCTGATGTGTGTTATCCATGTTTGTGTGACCATGTGCTCCGGAAATCATTCTGCACTTCCAATATGTTCAGCTTGGCACATTCCAGTATTTACCCAAACATCCTAGAAGCCTCACTGTGGAGGAATACAGAGCCAGCTGGGAGGCCATGGGGCACAGAGTGGTTAATCAGCTGCACTTTGTTTATTTCACCCAGAGAGGTAATAAGGGGGCAATCAGCGGGTATCACCTGGCATTCTGGCAGCAGAAGCACAGAGCCAGAGCCCATACAGTAGCGAGGCATGGCTTCCAGTTCTAATCTCACACAGCTGTGGGATGTATTACATTTAAAGATACCCAGATATATCTGTTGGTTCCACAGACTCAGAAGGAGATGATCACTAAATTAACAGCACAAGGTTTCATATTTCTGAGCTCTTCATTGGGATGCTGAGTAAGGCTGCTGGGGGCCTGAGGGCTGTACTCAGAGCTCCTTCTGAAAAACCCCACTGTCAGCTTCCTCCCCAGCTTCAGCAATATTTTTAAAAGCCTGCACATTCAAACATTAGTAAACAATACCCCTGAATTCTATGTGCGTGTGTTGTTTCACACCCTGAAAAACCCTTTTTCTACATTTTCACTCAAAAAAAATCCCTAAACAGCTTAAACCTAATTATATGACAAACTTATTAATTTGCCATATGAATATTATTCTTGTGTGGAAGAAATTCAAGTTAAACCACTCATGGCACTAGAGTCATTCATCTGCCCAGGCCTTTTCAGATCAGGAGGACAAATCTAAGCAAAGCCCCACTCTGAAAATTGGATTTTACATTCCTCACCAGAAAAAGGAAAATCCTACACAAAATTTAAAGGTGAGCATGTTAACATTACACCTAAAAAGTGGAAATGACACTTGTGGTCATTGACAGTTATGTACATCTTTTCACTTAGTATTGCTACATAGTTTCCCTACTGCACCCCTACTAAAATGACAAGCAACAAAACGATCACACCTTGGATTGGATTGGATTAGATTAGACTAGACAAGACTAGACTGCATTGGCTTTATTGTCCCCCAAGGAGCAACTTGGTTTGCAGGCTGCAGTCAACACAACCAAAACATGTATAATAAAATATATAAAGGCTATTTATTTAAAAAAATAAAAATAAAAAAAAATAAAACATGTGACATAATAAAAACCATGAAAGAAAATCATGAGAGCCCTGATTGCCCAGCTGGTTACATAAAACCCATGACTCGTTTCAGTGAAACATTATACTTTAATCTGCTCGCTGATCTCACTCATTTCTACTGCAAAGGTGCCTGCTCTCTATGCTTAGCTCTGGTCTACTTGAGCAGTCACATCAGACCCCATTGTTGACATCGCTCCTCTTATCTCTTAAACTTTCCAGGTGGGCGGGGTTCAACATCTGTGATACCAATTTTCTTCCTTAATCCCAAGACCTCACCAGACACTTTTTTTTAATGAATGAATGTTCCCCTCCTAGTGCTGACCATGGGTAATGTTTCCTAGTAGCACATTTACCTGCCCATGAAAAAATTATGTGGAAAAATGAATAACCTTCTTAGTTAACCACATCAGTGCTCACACATTTCTCTACATTTTCCATAAAATAAAAAATTCTGTACTGCTTCTCCATGAATCCCCACCTGGTGGAGGGTGTGTGTCCCAATGATCTTAGGAGCTCTGTTGTTGGGGACAATTGCTCCCGGCAGGGTCTCCTAAGGCAAATTGGTCCTAGGTGAGGGCCCAGATTAAGAGTGATTCCATTGACCCACATGCTGGTTAAAACCAAATGTAGCACTTTATACCCAAATGTGAGGTACTGTATAATTGTACACATCTGAGATCCCAGATTCGGCCAGGCAGAATAAGAAAGATTTGCTTTTCTTTTAAATTTAAGTGTAATTAACAATTAATTATACAATTCACCAATATATATATATATATATATATATATATATATATATATATATATATATATATATATATATAAATTAATATTTAAGGCCATGTATATAATCTCAAGAAATGTATATATGCATCAAACGATCATTCTTGAAATAACAATCATTCAAGTAATAAACAAAGGATTTGCAAAATGACCATACAAATTACAGCTCGGGAATTTAAAAAAAAAAAAAAAAAAGTAACAACGGAAAAGATTTTCAAAATAGGTGTATGCAAATTTCAGTTCATGAGAAAATAATAAAGTAACAACAAAAATATTAGTGAAATACACCGCCCGGGTGATTATTGGAAAGATAAGGGAAAAAAAGGAAAAGAAAAATCTTATCTGAAATTAGTCCGTATTTCAAATCCAGTGATGCTTGGGATCTATCGGGACTGGCTCACCATCCAATGGGGTACAATGTTCCAGAACAAACAAAAAAACAATCGGAGTTATCAAAAAATGGACGGGATTCAAACATAAGGTAAGCGATCTTCTAACCGCAATGTAATCTTCGATTAGAGTAAAGTTCTGATAAATCACTATGCTGGGTTCCCTTGCAAGGAGAAGTGCAGGCCTGTGCCTCCACCATCCAAAACTAAAGCAGAGAGGAAGGGATTGTATAAAAAATCTCATGCCGCTTTTTGATAAAATGGGATATGATGTCAACCCAAGGGTTATATTTTTTTTCTCCGTACATGAAAATAATTTCTAAAAAATAATGAAAACTTTATTAAATAATAAAATTTATTTATGGAAGACTTCTCTCCATTTGTAACCGTGTTATTTATGGGGGTTACACAAAGATTCAGAAACATCGCTTAGAACTGGGATACTGGGACCCTGCCGTGGAGCCAGGCCTGGGAGGGAGCTCATCTTCGAGAGCCTGATGGCCAGGGGTCTATCCCTGGGGCCTGGAAAGGGGCAGGCCGAATGAGCTATATGGGGGCATTCTTCTGTGGGGCCACCATCCGCAGAAGGCATAAGAGTCAGTGAAATGCAGATCTGGTGACAGTTGAAGGGAGGGGCCTTGGCAGACAGATCCCCAGTTTCTGAAACTGCCTTTAGGGACATGGTGGCAAAGGAGGTAGAGGGACACTGTCTAGATACATTCAGGATCACCTCAAAGCACAGAAGAGGTTCTGGAACCAAACCCCTTAAAAGGAGCTGGACTCTATTCCACTCTGGGGCTGCCTTGGATGAGACATGAAAGGGTGTGATTTGGAGACATGGCCTGTCTGATCTGAACCTGAGCGGTGCTCAGTTATTGGACTACTGTGCTAGTCGCAGTATATCTATAACAAACACCATGCTGAAGTATAAGGGTACATAAGTGTACCTAGCACCAGAACACCCTACGCTATAGATCAATGATCAACTTGCAGTTGTATCATCAGACCTCTGATCTTATGTCTTGAACACTTGCATGAAGAGGGGAGCTGAGCTGTCTACTGATCACCACCTGGTATGAGTTGGATCAGATGGTAGAGGAAGATGGTATAAAGACCTGGTAGACACAAGCGTATAGTGACGGTGTACTGGAAGCATTTGGCAGTGAATCCTGTTTGGGAGATCTCCTCCGGCAGAATCTTGCATTCTCATGGAGGCTAGAGACATTAAGTCTGCATGGGCTATGTTGTGTGCCTCCATTGCTAAAGCGGCTGTGCAGAACTGTGGTAGTAAGGTTGTTGGTGTGTGTTTTGGTGGAAACCCTCGAACTTAGTAGTGGACAGCAGCAGTAAAGAGAGGTGTCAATCTAAAGAAGGAGGTCTTCAAGTTAAGTCAAGTAGGTTTGTCATTTCAGCCAAATACACAATACACAGTGAAGCGAAACATTATTCCTCCTGGACTAAGGTGCAGAAAAAACAAAAAGGACAGAAATAAAATAAGTAGTATAAATAGTAACAGTGCTAGTTTGAATTCATATTTGAATAAATAGCATTATTACAGATACTACTGTATATTATGGCATATACTGTATTATAGCAGCAAGACAGCAATAATGTGAAAACAGTAGTAGCAGCAGGAAAGAGGGTAAAGTATATAATAAATGACATGTGAAACACTGTTCGTGATTCAATTCTGACTCAGAAATCTGAGGGAAGAAATGGTTTCCCATCCTGGCAGTGAAGACCTGTACACTACGGAAGGAGAAGAGGATGTGAGAGGGGTGTGTGGGATCATCCACAACGCTGGTGGCTTTTAGGATGCAGTGTGACGTGTAAATGTCTGCAAATGTCTTCAACGATCTTTTCCACTGTCCTCACTATCCACTGCAGGCTCTTGCAATCCAAAGCAGAGCATTTCTTGTACCAAGGCATGATTCAACTACACAGGAAACTCTCTATAATCCCTCTGTAGAACGTGGTGAGGAGGGGGAGTGTTTTCTTCAGTCTACACAGGAAGTAGTTTAGTTAGCTTGCTGAACTCTGAAGGCTTGCATTGCTAGCACTAAGTCAGACTTTTGTGTTGTGTGTTGGACTCTACCAGAGCTGCTCTTAGGCACCAGTTCTGTTCATAATTTTTATGGACAGAATTTCTTGGGACAGCCAAGGGGCAGAGGGTATCTGGTTTTAGTGACCTCAAGATCGCATCTTCGCTTTTTGCAAATGATGGTCCTTTTAGCTTTGTCACGCTGTGACCTACAGTGTGCACAGAGGCAGCTTACAGCTGAGTGCGCAGGGACTAGGGATGATGTTCAGCACCTCCAAGTCAGAGGCCACACTTAATTGGAAAAGGGTGGATTGCCCTCTCCGGGATGGGGATGAATTACGG